ATCGCATACCGTTTGTACCGCCGTTTGCTTCGCCCATAACCGCCTCTTTCACTCCATCAGGGTACTTCTCGAGTACACAACGTCACGTCCTTGGTAGCTCCGAGTCATTAGCTTGACCTTGGATTTTGCCTGACTCTTGTCCTGAAAAAGGTACCTTTTCCCCTCCGAACTTGCTTCAAACTCTCCGATATACTGCGAGAGAGCCTCAAACGGCCTGGTACCTTCTCCTTGGCTTGCTTCCTAACGCTCACCGTCCACCCGTATTAGTCACATCACTCTCGATACTTCCGGCGCCTCCCTCCTCCTCCCACTCCGATCACCGCCCGGTCACCACGACCCCCCGATAAATCCATCCTTGCCCTTCTCTGCCTTCTTCGACTTTCGCTTCGTTCCTGGTCGCTTCGTCGACACAATCCTGCACCCACCCACGGACGCTACGACGGTCCTTCCCTTCTGCATCAACCTGGTCCGCGTGCACCCCGACCTATCGGATACCTGCCTGTCGCTGCCTTCACAGTACCCTACCTTTCGAAGCATCGACACCAGGGTTCTGGCTGCTGCTCGCGGTTCTGCCTGTTCATCTGTTGCTTCTCTTCGGCGTGCCTTTCTTCCGCCAACTCTATCAAATAAAACCATCACAACGACCGTCTCTCCAACTTCGATCGTGTACATGACACCTCATCCGGCCGACGTCTTTCGAATAGCATAGGCCAAAGGCCTGAACCGAACGGTCCCCGAACTCGCATTCACACAAGCAGTACTGCAGGCGATCAATATGGCGGAACGGTTACCAACCTCGTCCTCTTCAGGACGCAGGCGACGCGAAGGCGACGCTTCTATCGGAGACTTTGTCATTGGAGGCGAAATCGGCAAAGGCAGCTTTGCCCAGGTGTACAGCGGTCACCACAAGGTTCGCGAGCTCCCCTCTGTCCGTCTTGTAGACCTGGAAGCCTGTTGCATGTACTACCAACTGTTGTTCCCCTCGATATGCTCCAGTGCTATGACTCAACTTGGCTTTGCATGTGTTGCTCCTAACGTGCTAATTCTCTGTCATAGAGCTCCAAGGCAACTGTGGCTATCAAATCAGTCGAAATGGGACGCCTGAATAACAAGCTCCGAGAGAACTTGTACGGAGAGATTCAGATCCTCAAGACTCTGCGACACCCGCACATCGTCGCCCTCCATGACTGCGTCGAATCAGCGACACACATCAACCTGGTGATGGAATACTGTGAGCTTGGTGACTTGTCATTGTTCATCAAAAAGAGGGACAAGCTGAGTACCAACCCTGCTACACACGAGATGGCGAGAAAGTACCCCGTTACACCTAATTCGGGTCTCCACGAGGTTGTCACACGCCACTTCCTCCAACAGCTCGGCAGCGCCCTGAAGTTCCTGCGAGAGAGAAACTATGTTCACCGCGATGTTAAGCCTCAGAACCTGCTGCTCCTGCCATCACCAAGGTTCAGGGAGGCACACTCCCGCCCTATCTTGACCGCCAGTCAGGATTCACTGATTCCCAACTCTGGTCTGGCTTCTCTTCCGATGCTGAAGCTCGCAGATTTCGGCTTTGCCCGTGTTCTCCCGTCAACGTCGCTCGCCGACACCCTCTGTGGATCTCCCCTCTACATGGCGCCAGAAATCCTTCGCTACGAGCGGTACGATGCGAAGGCCGATCTCTGGTCGGTAGGCACGGTTTTATACGAGATGATTACTGGTCGTCCACCATTCCGCGCCCGAAATCACGTAGAGCTTTTGCGTAAGATCGAAGCCGCTGAAGATCGGGTGAAGTACCCAAAGGAGCTTGTGGTCAGTAAAGAGCTGGTCAAGCTCATCGGCAAGCTTCTTACTCGCAATCCGGTCGAGCGCATGAGATTCGAAGACTTCTTCAACGATCCAATCTTGACAGAACCCATTCCAGGCACTGTTGAGGATGATGCACCCCCGAAACCTGAGGCAAAGGCCTCGCGCGATCTGCGATCTCTCGGCAGGTCCGATTCCACATCATCACTATCTCGCCGGCTCTCCCTTCGTCGGCAAACCGAGAACGAGCCTGTACGTGAGCAAGGCGAGTCAGCAAAATCGCCTCGTGAGAAGCCTCTCAGATCGCCAAAGTTGCCCAGTCCCATAGAAGGGCGAGCCCAGCAGGCTGTCGATGCTGCGCCACGTCCAGGACAGTCTACGGGACAAGAACCCGGGGAGGGACTTGGAATTCGTCGTCCATCTATGGCCCAACCCTCCACTTCTGCACCTGCCCGGCCTCACAGACTTTCGAATGCAGCTCTCAATCGGCCTTCTGCACGAGCCTCTGCCTCCCCACCGACGTCGTACTTGAACGATAATCCTGCAAGGAACAGACTTCGTCCAGTCACCGAGCGGAGCGTCACCGAACAGGAAAAGGCTGCACAAGATGTGGCGTTTGAGCGTGACTATGTTGTGGTCGAAAAGAAGCACGTTGAGGTGAACGCGTTTGCTGATGAAATGGCTGCTAACCCACGCCTCACGTCACTCTCACCCAAGACTGGTCAGATGATCCGCCGAGCCACGCAACAGGGACCGCCCACCTCGACAACCGGCGCCGGACGAGTCCAGCCATCCAGTGCAGTTCAAATCGCTTCAGGCAAGGGACGTCCCGGTCATGAGAGCCGCGATTCGTACGATGGGAAGAACTTTTCCGCCAGCCCGACGACTCAAGGCTTCATCGCCAAAGCCATCTCAGACGCCAGCGTGCGATTGTTCGGATTCAAGGTCCCGCAGCATGTGTTAGGCGGAAAGGGGGCGTCTCCTCCTCTATATAGTCCATTCCCTGCGTACCCTACCCCTTCGGGCCCCGTCGGCCTCATTGGCGATGGAAAGCAAAACGCACCGGCCGACGAGGATGCGCGTGCTGTCAAGCTGATCCAGGATTTCGCTCACCGGAGTGACTGTGTGTATGGGTTTGCGGAAGTAAAGTACAAGCAGCTTTTCCCCCTCGCCCCATCAATGGAGCACGGACTCGGCGGCACGCCGGCCGATCAAATCACTGGAGATGAGGATGGCCTCACCATCGATGCCGAGGTTTCCCTGTCTGAAGAGGCTTTGGTCCTGTACGTCAAGGCTCTGACGCTGCTAGCTAGAGCCATGGACGCTGCAAGCCTATGGTGGTCACAAAAGACGCGTGGCGATCCAACTTCTGCGGCAGAGGTTTCCAAAGAGGGCCTTGCACAGCGCATCAACTCTACCGTTCAATGGGTTCGGACTCGCTTCAACGAAGTCTTGGAAAAGACAGAGGTTGTCCGGATGAAACTCATCGCTGTTCAGCAGAAGCTTCCCGAGGATCATCCAAGCCACCCTAGCAACCACAGCGAAGTCTCAGCTTCGTCAGCTACTTCAAGCACTCCCGATGTCTATCTTACGCCAGGCATTAGTGCTGAGAAGTTGATGTACGACCGAGCCATCGAAATGAGCAGAACGGCAGCCATTGATGAAATTACCAACGAGAACCTTGAGGGTTGCGTTACGTACTATGTCACGGCCATTCGAATGCTGGAGGCTGTCCTGGACAACGACGAAGACGTAGTCAAGCGACGCTATTCAAGCTCAGGCAAAGAGTTGCCTCGCGAGGAGACCTCTAGCGATCTGGACAGCGAAGACCAGCAGGCCGTGAACCGGAGTAAGTAATGAGCAGCTATGTTCTAGTTTCCTCGCAATACTGACATTATGGCAGTGATTCAAATGATTACGTCACGTCTCTCGACTGTTCGTAAGAAGATGGCCATGATTGCAGAGGCATCGAGGTCGCAGCAGGCCGCGCAATTTCAAGGCCGCAGACGTAGCGGAGATGTGACGCCCCGCAGCGTGCCATCGCACGCCTCTTGACCTGCAGGGAATGGATGAAAAGAGCATCGCTCTTGTTTAACGGGAAAATAAAAAATAAAAAAACACCAAAACGAACAGCCTCGCGGCTACGGACTATTATTGCTTTATGCGATTTTGAGGAATCCTGGCCAACAACGGGAGGACCTGACACTTATGTTACAGCTGGTGTCACAGGCCGGAATACCTCGCAATACTTTTCATACATCGGCGTTGGGGGAACTGGAATTCGGCATTACTTGGGCTTCATACGGCTTTTGTCTTTCTCTCATACCTCATGTCATTGGCGTTGGGAATCTGAGGCTGCGAGCTCACTGGCGAGGCGGCCAAACAATCTTGTTGTTGCTGAAGTCCGCATGAGTGCAAGGAAGGGCAATCACAGGACCTTGAACCGGCATTGCAGCTTGGCTTTCACTGAGTTCTTCTCACTAGGTTAGGACGTCCATCGGAGGATGGCAATGGGCGAACATGGTCGTCCGTTGAACACGAAGGATGATGGATACCTTTTGAAGTACTGCTGGCGGAGACAATCTGGTCTTTGCTTTATAGTCATCAATATTGAGAAAATTTGCCTGCCATCCAGAAGTCTTGAAGTCGGCAGTAGTGCCTTGCAAGAGAGTCGCACCGTCTGATCTACTTCAGACTGAAGTAGTAATAATAATGGGTAATGTTGAAGAACCTAACATTGACCTGGCCCATCCCGGCGACGCAATAAAGGCTAGGTAGGTTACCCTCTCCCCCTCGGTGGAGTTAGACAACAGAGAGTCTGCATGCTTGGCTTTAACGGAAACAGGCATGGTACTAGACAGAAAGCGTTCACATTTGTCGCCAGTAGTTCTCGACTGGAATGCCCCAGATGAGTCAGCTTCAGGACTTTGTGGTCCAAGGGGGTCCTTGAGGTGCTCGACCGTCGAATACGTCACCGTGACCGGTACATTTTCAAGACGATCCAGAGCTAAGCTCCAAAACGCGAAGCTATAAGGTCGACACGGGAGCTTCGCAGAGCTCCTGGGCTTACCATGCTCAACTCCAATCACAGCACTCAATTCAACTCATTTCTGTGTCTTTTCTTCTGTCCTACCAAAAGTTTGTCTCTTGTCTCTGTAAGAATTAGAGCATTGCTCCTGAAGCAAAAAAAAGCAAAGATGTCGGCCTCAATCCGCTCCCTCAGACTCGCGCAGCGAGCTCCGCGAATGCTCTCGCGCGCAACCCGCACCTCCATGCCGTCCCACCAACAAACCCGCCACCTCAACACCGAAACCGCGCCCGTTCTCTACTCAGCCCATGCCAAAGTCGTCGGCGCCCGAACGGGCCACGTCGAGGGCGACGACCTGCGCGTGGATCTGACCATGGCGAAAGCCCTCGGCGGACCGGGGGATAAGGGAAAGACGAACCCGGAGGAGCTGTTTGCCGCGGGGTATGGCGCGTGTTTCCAGAGCGCGATGAACGCGTCGGCGGCGAGTTTAGGGGTGACGATGCCGCGGAAGCCCGAGGATAGCGTTGTGGAGGCGACTGTGCATTTGGTGGGGGATATGAAGAAGCTTGATATGGGACTGAGGGTTGATCTGAAGGTTAGGGTGAAGGGGTTGAGTGAGGAGGATGTGAAGAGGGTTGTGGGGAGGGCGGAGGAGGTTTGTCCTTATTCGAGGGCGACGAGGGGGAATGTTGCTACGAGGGTTGAGGTTGTTGGGTTTGAGGAGGGGGAGGGAGGTGGTGAGAAGGGGGGGAAGAAGAGTGGTGGGGAGAAGAGTGAGGCGAAGAGCGGCGAGAAGAAGGGCGGTTCGGATAAGATGTCTGGTGTCGAGCCTAAGGGGCATAGCGATTACCAGTGAGGATGAGGTTAGTCGTATGTATAATACTTGCATCGTCGCAACATCAACAAGCTCGCCATGGAGATTGATAGCGGCATTATTGCAGTCTAGAATCCATATTGCTATCATATGGCCATGTGCTGCTGTGTACTTGTTTGGCTCTTGATGGTCTTTTGATGTGGTCCTTATGGTAAGTATTTGCAGTAAAGACGTAACTATTTATTTTGTTCGAACACCTTCAAAGTCAAGGATCTCAGCTCAACCACCAGCTCCCGTCTTGCCTCTATACTCACCTTACACAGGGAACTCATTACAACCACACAAGTGTATCAACTTCACCCCCCCCACATCTTACCTTGACCTACCTAATCCTCTACCTATACCTACCACTTTCCCACCATTCTTCTGGCTCTTCTGGCTCTTCTGACCCATCCGTCGTGAAGACGATGCGATCTTCTTGCAGACGTCATCATTAGTGTCTTCATGGCCGTCAGCTAGAGTCTGAGATTGAAAGTGGGGTGGCTCCTGCTGTCGTCGAATCTGGGCATCGTCATCGTCATTCAGCTCAGTCTGACCACTTACCTGGCGCCCCTCCATCAGCTCAATTTCAACTCAAAGACTGTCGAGAAGGTCGTGGTCCTGCCCAGGCTAGTTGAAGTTGTCGATACAGGCTGAATTCGAAGAGCGTGCTAACAGGGAATGGTTCGGCGGTGTGCTGCTCGAGCCTGGTGTGATCGATTACATATCACCTCAGAAAAAGCATAAACATAAGCTGGGTTGATGGCTTGCGTGATTCATGATCCATCACGTCCAGAAAACAGTCGAAGAGAGTGGCCCTTTCTTTGCCAAGGTTTGAATGAGCCCAAAATGCGTTGTTCCTCAACCAGAGCGCAACAAAGCTCAGTGCCGGGGTGTTGCATCTTTGTTGATACTCTCAGAGAGAGGATGTAATCATGACACACAGTCTTTGTCAAAAAAGAGAAAAAAATATGATATGTTTGTATGGTGCGATGTTCCAGACCGCCTCAAAAGTTCCCAACGAGCAAGGTTCAACATTTTGTGCAAGGTACCTAACCTTCTATCCCCATTCGTCAGACAAGAACCCCATGCACACAGTATAAGGTAGAAAATAATAGTATCCCTCTTATAGGGCTTAGCATCGTTCGAGGACTACCTTAGTACTCATCCGTAACTTTAAGTTAAGTTAACCTTGATGGCATCACGCATCACGCAGTCCGTCAAGTTGTCATTGAGAATCTAAAATCAATAAAATACGAATGGGGGGAGGGGGGGCGATCCCGCCCCGCGATGCGGCGGCGCGGGTGACCCGAAATGGCAAGCGAGATCCGATCATGATTCATCCGATGACGGATGACGGATCTTCTGCAGGGGCCCGGCGCTGCGCCGGGGCAGTGCCCGGGGCGGCAAACCGCCCGGGGGGTGGTAAAGTAAATACTCTCTGTACCAGAACCTCGGGTCGGGCGCCAACGTAATGCAACTCAGTGCCGGCATAATCGGGGGAACAAACTAGCCATTTCTGACAAATCGCCATGGGAAGCAGAAGAATGCGACTCTATCAAACCGACGTCTGTATCTGGTATGCCGTCATGTTGCGTTCGTTCTTGGGCCGCTGGACTTTCTCTCAACCTTACCGGACACTACCTACCTACTATACCTTAGCACCAAGCAATGTGCTAGGTGCCCAAGCCAACCAAGACCTCCCAGGGGGGGAATGTGAAGTCAAAGTTCTCAACCCACGAGTCCACAGCGTTTGCCGCTCGTCGGCTCGGCATTGTGAGCCGTGATTGGATCAACGAAGGGGTTCATTGGTGTGTGGAGTACCGAGTAACCGCGGGGGGGAGAAGGGAAACAGGAAATCCGAGAGCACTCAAGCACTCCATCCATCACACTGCTCGGGGGGCCGGGGGCAAAGGGAGGCGATAGGTTCATGTCGAGGAAAACCACCTACCACTTCCAGGCCCCCTTGACTCGCTCAGCTCCCCCTTCGCTCTCCGCCAAGGCACAGGCGAATTAGACTTTGATGAGATAGGCAGGGCAAAGGGCAGGTCAAGCCGCAAAGACACGCGGACTCTGGCTTGCTTGTTTTCCCTTCCGGTTTCCCCGGGTATGCCGGATTTGCAGAAGAACAACTTGTGCGCCTGGGTTCCGCGTTTGACTCCGCCTCTGCATGTTAAACTTGGAGTCACCTGTTTTTTTTTTTTTTTTTTCACTTCTCCTCACCTCCCCTTTCAAAAAGTATACCCAAACTCAGGGGGAGGTTTCTTAAATTCCACTAGATAAGGCAGACTCAGTATCGGAAAAAAACTCCTTGAGGATCAAGTAATTACGATTTCAGCCCACTTCAAACGATCCACACAAAAAGAAACAATGCCACCACCGCCAGATCTATCCCGCTACGTCCTCCCGGACGCAGAGGCTCGGGAGATCTTCACCACCAAGATCCTCCCCGCCGACCTCCCGCCGACCCTCACCCCGCATCCCCGCCGGTCCCGGCCCCTCGCCGTACTGATAGTCGGCCAGACCGGCGCCGGCAAAACCCGCTTGGCGCCCGTCATCCTCGACGCCATGACCCGCATCCACCCGCCCGCCCACCTCATCGCCGACCTCTACAAAGCCCACCACCCTTCCTACCGCACTCTCATCGAGTCCGACGCCTCCCAGGCGCAGCAAGGAGGCCCGGCCCTCGCGAGCCCGGCCACGGGCACCGACGCCCGCAGGTGGCTGGCCATGGCCGTCGCCGAGGCCGTGGACCGCAGGCTCGACGTGCTCCTCGAGAGCGCGTGCCGCCACCCGGACGATTTCCGTGCGCTGGCGCGCATGTTTGGGGAAGGGGGTTATCGCGTCGAGGTCGTCGTCATGGCGGTGCCGGCGGCGCTTAGCAGGTTGGGTATCCTGCACCGGTTTCACGAGAGGTTGCCCGAGGCCGGGCCGAGCGGGGGTCTGCCGATTCGACTTACGCCGGTCAAGATCCACGATGATTCGTACGGGGGGCTGATGAGCGTGGCGGAGTGGATTGACGAGGTGGATTTCGTTGACCGGGTTGTGGTTGTGCGGAGGGGGGATTTGGTTGCGTTTGCTGATGACAAGAAGACGACGACGACGGGCGGCGGCAGCAGGTTGCAGGGCAGAGTGGCTGAGGCGGTGGAGAGGGAGCGGAGGCGGCCGCTTACGAAAGACGAGAGGGCTGTTGTGGTGAGGGATCTGGAGAAATTGACGGCGCGAGATGCGCGGGTGGCGGAGCAGGTTATGGGACTGCTTGAGCCGTTGTTGGTGGACGAGGATAAGACGTATCCAGAGCTCAGGCCGTTGGCGTTTCCTCCTGGGGGGCCGCGGGAAGCCATGCTTACTTTGGGCGAGGCGTGATGGGGCGAGATTTTCTGCGACGGAGTGTCATGGAATCAGTTTCTGCATGAGGCGAAGCTCTAGATGGATCGAGATTACATGAGGACAGCATCTGGGCAAGGGCAAGGGCACGATAGAGGCATTTGCTGGTAACGGTTGGAACGCGGTAGGATGGTTATTTTGAGAAGACACGTCATGTTCTTGGATTCAACATATCTGCTTCTTGTTTTCTCCCTTTGTCCTCATTGCTAGGTGATCAGGGCGACAGACTCAGACGGCAACGAGAGTGTAGGACGAGTTCTTTGAAATATGCCTTTCGCGAGAATGCAAGGAATGTTGACACCACACGCCAATTGGCCGAGAAGGAAGCTCAGCTTTTACTTATTTGTATGTGCTTCTCCGGGGCTGTGTTGGTCGTCGACGTTGCGTTGGAGCCTCGACCTTCCCCCTTCTTCTTGTGGATATGATTGCGTCTGCCGCTGACAATGGGATAACTGCAATTTGGTGTTTGTAAACCGACATCAGAGGGCCTCTTTGGAACCCTTTAACTTTGATTGTTCCAGGCTTTGGATGTCGTCGACGTTAGTTACCGGCCGCTGCGCAGTTCAAGGTTTGCAAAGTCCACGTCTGAGCGACCATGGTTTTTGATGATTGTTAAGGACAAACTATCCTTGATGTAGCCTTTGCAAAGATCCAGCATGGTTACGTCGTTCTGAGCGTTAATCACAACTCAATCGGCTTTAGCGATTGTATTCCCGTACCTTAGCTATCGGTAGTGTGCAAGGTAAAGAAAGGTAAGTATACTTGGAAAAATGGGTTCGCTAGTGAAATTTCCCCAGATTTCAATACTGAGAACTGATGCAGACGTCCTTAGAACATGTCATTGGTAGCTGTGTTGGCATTATAGTTTCTTGCTGGGGATGATCTTCAGGCAGATATTTACGTTGCTCAAAGCACAAATGCCGTATTTACTCTGGTCAAGGTTGGTAAAGGTAGATCGAATGATCGACAGACTAGAGCAGCGCCTTTCAAAACGCTGTATAGCAGTCCACAAGGTACGAATTTAGAGATCGTGTGTCAGGTCAAGCTATTTAGTAACATTCAGAAGCTGGAATTCTAACGAAACCGAACTAATCCTTGGTTTTCAACTTGTCTCGAAGCCCAGATCGTTTATGGGCAGATGTCGCCTCAATTGCTATCAAGACATTTCGTTCCGGAACAAGCCCCATTTCGGAGTTGAGTGGACCCCGAAAGCCCCGGCCGGCACGTAGGTCAATGCCGGCATTGAGCCGGTGCGGGGCCAGATGAGAGCTGAAGTTGAGCGGAGCAGAGGACCTGGAGGCTGGAGTGAGCTCAGAGCAAACCTTGGAAGGTTTTGGACCAGTGAGGTCACGTCAATTGGAGGTACCTTGCGTGTCTGCCGTGCCCTTGCCGTTCCAACACTTTGGTGAGGGACGAGAAGCTGTACGCAGTAAGTGGGAGTGTGGGGTCTGTGTGGATTATGTAATGCATTAGTAGGGTTGGCTGCCCTACGGAGCTCAACCACTAAAACTTCCCCCTCCAGGCGCGTGACAGTTGGAGATGGAACTTTCATCACCAACATCTCTCACCAAGAAAGAGTAAGTACAGTGCCCCTCCCCTACCCGCCATGCCCATCGCGATGTCGTCAGCGCCAATCCTACAATGGATTGGAGAGCTCCCGGCAAGCAGTTGGCAGGGTGGCTAACTGCGCGCGATGCGAATCAATCACTAACATGCCGCAGCTTCGTCATTCAAGATGAGAGCTAAATGGAGAAAGAAGCGCGTGCGTCGCCTCAAGCGTAAGAGAAGAAAGATGAGGGCTCGCTCGTAAGTTTTAACAACAGATGATAATCTTGCGCGAATCGTGGTCTGACAGTTTGATAGCAAATAAACAACTCGCCCCCCCTCCCCTCGACCTGACCATCTTTTGAGATGACGGCAAACAACAACTCACGCGACTCGCCAAAACGGATATGCAACAGCCAGCATTCGTCATCATCGACTCAGTCTGTCTCGGCTCGCACGAGACTTCTACATTCACACTACGGATTGGAACTACGGGACTTGGGGTCATGACTGGATCGGCAAGCACGTCTGGAGACGTATGAGAATTCAACGAAGAATGGAAAACCCCGACAATGAGATCGGTCGAGATGACGATATGATGAGGACGCGGTGTTTATGGAACAAGGCCGCAGGAAGCATGATGTCTTGACGCAACGCGGATTTGGAACTGGGATCAGGACTTGCATGACAATTGAAAGGCAGAAACTTGCTTCCTCAGAAAAATCAAAAAGTGAACCAAAAATTCCAAAAAAAAAAAACAAAATCTCTCCAATGAGTGACAACGTGAACTGAATCAATCAACTATGTGACTCTTATGCATCGCGACGATTCAATTGCAGTATGTGGAAGCTCAATCACCCAATGTCTCTAATTTCATCAACGCAGCTAAAGTGCGACAGCCGAGCTGTGACGTTTTGTCGACCCAGCTCGAGTGGGGTAGCTGCAGCAGGCGCTTACACACGCTTGCCGTTAGGCTACACACCGCCTGCCTCTTTAAGATAGATCAACGCAGGTTTGCCGACTTTTTTTTTTTCCTTCCCGCCTGTCTCTGGCTGGCCCAAGACCCCTACAGAAAATATTTCCAGAGACCGTCGCCATCCCACCAACGGCAGATTACCACCCGCGCCTAGCACAAGCCTCAGATCGCCGACACAAACATGGCGGACGCAAGCGTACGAAAGAGAAAGCGCGACCTTGACGGTTCATCCAAGTCGAAGAAGAAGCAGGCCACCGAGCCTTCCAAAGTTGTTGTTTCTTCATTCCAGAGACCTCAGCTCTGCCCGCCAGTACTAGGTACGGACAATCTGCCCTCATCAGCCTCTCTCAATTGCAGTCGCAGACAACTGCTAATGTGCCGTAGCCTCTACTCCCGGTATTCGGATAGCGAAGAATGTGCAGTTCAACCCATACGTCAAGCAAGATGTCTCATCCGGCAAGCGACGTTCAAAAGCCCCCGCAGTGTCGCAGGATCTCGTTTTACACTCCACCGACCACCAGACGATGGACTACACGGCGAGAGAAGATGGCATTAGCGACAGCCAGCAGGCTCTGAAGCACTACGTCGGCATTTACGACCCTGAGACCGGCAAGCTTCAAGTGGTGGAGGCGAAGAAGATGGTGGTTCGTGGTGTGGCCAGAGCAAAGCATGCGTCAGAACAGGCCATGACAGCGCCGGCAGATTACAACGTACGCCCAATCGCGCCAGGCGAAAGCCTTGCAGAACGGTCACTAACGGCAAGCAGAGCTACTACGATCTCAAGAAAGACCTTGGTCAGACGTTTGGTACGAAGAAGGCGAAGAAGGCCATCGAGTCGGTCGCTCTCAACGCCATCGCCCCCAACAAAACAAGAGACAGCGCACCCAAGAAGCTCGACACCGCATCAAAGGCGATCATGGAAGCGATTGGCGGCGCCACCGCGACAATGGCATCGCGCGAGCAGCTGCAAGCCGTCGTCGACGAAGCCAAGCCCGTACCCAGGCCCAACCTCGAAGCCGAAGCGATCCAGGACGTCTACGACCCCGACGAGTTCATCGGCCGCGAAATCCTGGCGGCGATCCCCGTCAAGGACTGGATCGACCCGGCAAAGAAGGGCGAGGAGGTTCTATGCTACTCCCGGCACGTGGCAGGCCGCGTCAAGAAGATTGCCGACTCTGGCAACGTCACCAAGATGCGCCTCCTGCGCTACTTTTACTTCCTTTTCACATTCTACACCATGGCGACGCCGGGCAAGCAGCGCGGCACAAAGCGCATACCGCCCCGCGACAAGCTCAAGGAGCGGATGGAGCCAGCGCCGCAGGTGGTCATCGAGCACATCCGGCGCAAGTTCTCGGACGGCGGCGAGATGCGCAAGTTCCACATGGACCTGCTCATCACGCACTGCTGCGCGGTGGCGTGCATCATTGACAACTTTGAGGTGGAGACGTCCAAACTGCGTGAGGACCTGCGCCTCGACCAGAAGGATATGAATAACTACTTTTTCGAGATTGGCGCCAAGGTGAAGCAGGGCGCCTCCAAGGAGAAGGGTGTCAAGGCCCCGCACGTGGCCAAGCTCGCCCTGCCGCTCAACTTCCCCAAGCTCCGATCTGTCGCGCCGAAACGCCGTTAGGGTGGTGAAGCGGGCGACGGCGACGAGCCGAGGACGCCGGAGAGGAAGCGGCTTCGCGAGATGATCAGGGTCAGATCGGTTTAAGAGTTGCGGACAGTTGTGAAGCGATTCGCCGATCTATGTCTCTGGTGCTAATGGGGAGATCGAAAAGGGGCGCGCATTCCGCACCTCTGAGGTTAAGGAGGCGGAGGCCAGGGAATATACAGACGATGGGTGTCTGCTACTGCTGATACTCATAATGATACACATACCTACCTTACGTACGCGATACCTTAAGCAGACGAGCGCACAATTGCAAAACGCCACGCTGCATAGGGCTCGGAGTTTAAAATTTTGAATTATTTACAACAACAATAACTGTGACGATGAATCTGGGATTTAATCCACGGGCACTAAGGGTTTGTATAAGGTGATGTTATCAATGTTGGATGCAATGAACCATGAGCGCTAGCACCCCGCAATGCCACCCCGACCTGCCGAGGCATCTCGGTGCAGTGTGGGGTCCGGGGTAGCCAGACCTTCCCACCCTGGCTAACTCGACGTTTGATAAACCCGACAACCTGCCAACCCCCCTAGCTTGACTCGAAGGTGAGATTCAGTATCTGATCTCCATTGAACACTTTCATCCACATCTACCTCATCGTACCTTGTGATTAGAGGTTCAATTGCAGAAACGACTCCAATCAAAAGAACAGAAAGGACGTACATACAAACGAGACAAACTCCAGCTACACAGACGCATCATCATCATCATCATCACACAATGGCAAGCCCCGAGGACTCCGTCATCTCCCTCGAGTACCGCGGCCGCGTCGCGCTGCTCACAATCGACAACGACCGCAAGCTCAACGCCCTCGCGCAGCCGCAATACTACGATCTCGCGCAGAAGCTCCGCGAGATTGCCCTGCACGATGAGGTGTTTGTCACCGTCCTCACGGCCAAGGGTCGCTACTTTTCTGCGTGAGTTTTTTTTGGGGGGTTTTCTCCTCTTTTCTTTTATGTGCCGTGGATTTCTTTACTGCAGTAAAATGTGCTTTTTGCCGCGATGGTGTTTGGACCTCGGTTCAAGTCTCATCGCCCCGGCCTAATTATTCTTATGAGAGATTCCAAGCTGTATCACGCACGCGGCATTCAAACACACACACACACACACACATACACCCCCGCCTCACTTCTCTACCCAGTCCATCATCCCGATGACATCTTCAAAAAGGGCATATTGAATATGAAAAGGCAAACCTAGGTACTAACAAAATTCATAACAGCGGCGCCGACGTAAGCATCGCCCGTGCCTCCCCCTCCGGCCCAGAAGCCCACAAACACTGGCTCCAATCCTTCGTCGCCTTCAACCTAAACATCACCCAAGCCTTCTACACCCACCCCAAAATCCTCGTCGTCGGCCTCAACGGGCCCGTCATAGGCCTCTCCGCCGCCCTCGTCTCCTTTGCCGACTTCATCTACGCCACGCCCTCCACCTTCCTCCTCACCCCCTTTTCATCCCTGGGTCTGGTCGCAGAGGGCGGCGCCTCGCGCGCGCTGGTGCAGAGGCTGGGTATCTCCAAGGCGAATGAGGCACTGATTATGAGTAAGCGGATTTCGGCCGAGGAGCTGTTGCATACGGGGTACGTGAACAAGGTGTTTGAGACGGGCAAGGGGGAGGATGGGAAGTTTAGGGAGCTGGTGCTGAAGGAGGTTGATGAGAGGTTGGGGGAGCATTTGATTGGGGATAGTTTGACGGGGATTAAGGCGTTGATAAGACGGCCTGAGATGGATGCTATGGATAAGCAGAATTCGCAGGAGGTGTTTGCTGGGTTGGAGAGGTTTATGAAGGGGATTCCGCAGGAGGAGTTTAGGAAGATTGCGAGTGGAGAGAAGAGGCATAAGTTGTGAGATTGTGAGATAGAGAAGAGATTGCTGATGAGATGTAACGGGACTTTATAGAAACGTCTCGAGAGAAAAGCATAGGGCAGAATCTTCAGCATGTCACTATTCATTCTCACGACTCGGCATATCGGCATATAATAGATTTCATCTACGCTCTATTCTCAGGGGTATCTATGTACAAACTTCTCACATCACAGAAGACCAAAAAGTAGGCTCGTCTTCTTGTTGTACTCCTGCGACGACTTGGCTATCCGCTGGCGCGCCCCGTCGCCTTCCAAGCCCGTGTGTTGAAAGATCTTATCCTCCAAGCTCGCGAGGTCGTTGTTTTGGCTTGTCGCGGGGGCATCGAGGTAGCAGCGGAGGAAGGAGACGTCATAGAGCCATTGAATGAGAAGGTCGCGGTGCTGCTGTGAGAGGCCGTCGTCCACCTTCTCCGTTGCCTTTGCAGCGGGTTCTGTGGCCTCTGGTTCCTGTTTTGATGATTCTTCCTCCTTCTCTTCTTTGACCTTTGTGTCTGCGTCATCTCCCTTCTCCTCGTCGGCGGCGCCTTCCTGCTTCTCTGCGTCAAGTGCCTCGGCCTCCTTATTACCACCGTTCTCTGCCGAGTTCTTGATAACATCATCCGGCTTTGCGTCAGAAGCATCACCCGTGATATCCTCCGCGAGGTGCGCCTCCAGGGCCTCGAGCCACATCTCGCCCAACTGCGTCCCGAGATACCGCTTAATCACGCCCACGGCCACCGCGCTCCAGAGATCCATACCCGCATCGCCCATCTCCGTCGACACGTCTCGCAGGAACTGGAACACCCTAGGCGAAGGCTGCGTAGGCAACTCGGGACTTCCCTCCCACAGCGGCCGCCCAACAACAGTCTTCTGCGTGAGCGCCCTACCTTTGAATACTTCCAAAGGCTGCGCCGCCACGGTGGTAGCCAGCCGTTCGTGCAGCGACGGGACAACCTCCAGCCCGAACCTCTTGACGGCATCGAGCCTCGGTAGGCCCTCGCGCACGTCGCGCAGGATGCGGAGGAGGTACATGGCCACTCTGCCGCTATTCTGCGCACCTTCCTTGGACCGCCAGAGACCCGTGAGCTTCCCGTCCAGATCCCCAAAGGCCTTGACCAGCGTCGCGTCGAGCTTCTCGTGCAGCGTCCGCGGGTCCTCTCTACTGAGCAACTGCTGCCTCGCCTCGATCGTCTCCTCGTCCTCAATCTCGTCAATATCGTTATCCCACCGCTGCCGCCTGAGCTGCTCCACCACCTCGCCCACCTCGTCGATGATGTGCCGCCACGACTGGAACCCGCTGACGGCCTTGGACACGGCGTCGTTTCGACCGTGTAGCCGCGCGACGAGCTCCTGGAGAAAATGGTCCGCGCCGTGGATCAGGTCGAGATCGAACCCGCGCACGTTCCACAAATCGACCCCTTCGTCCGTCACGCCGTCCTGCCACGACTCCAGCGTCGCCGACACCTCGGACCCAACGAGATGCAGCTTATTGACTTTGGTCTCGACGACGCGGAGCATGTGCCCGTTGACGGCGCCGCGCAGCTCGTCGAGCATCTCTGACGGGTCGAACCCGCGCGCTTTGCCGCCCTCGCGGATCCACAGCTGCAGCACGCTTGTCCGCAGCTCCGTGATGGCTTTGAACTCCGTCATCCGCTCTATCGTCTTCTTGAGCCCGTCGACGAGAACCTCGCCGCCCCGCTTCGCCCAGCTGAAGAGCATGTCCCGCGCCTGCGGGCCGTCAAGGTCGTCGTGCCGCACAAAGGGTGTGAAGAACTGGATCTCCTCGCCGCACCACCGCTCGTAGACGTCGAGGCGCAGACACTCGAGTGTCTTGAGCGTTGCGTCTGCTAGTAAGGGGCTCTTTTTGAGGTTGGAGAGCGCGTCGGACAGCTTAAAGGGCACCAAGGCCTGCACGTCGAGCAGCGTCTTGGTGTATAGTGTCAGGCTCTTGAGCACGTCGGCGGTGCTCCTCTGCCGCTCCTTGTTGTCTTCGACGTCAAAGGCCAGGGCCATGGCGGCGCCCCGGACGCGCAGGAAGTGGTTGACGACGTCGCGCGCGCCGGAGCTGGTGGCCAGGCTGTACGCGCAGAGCGCCTTGAGGACGTCCTGCTGCTTGACGGATTCGCCAGTCCGCTCCAGCAAAGTTTCAATGTTCCGCAACAGTTTCCTCCTCAGTCCACCTAAGCTCTTCTTCGCGGTCTCGATAGTGTGTCCGACGTCGCCGTCCAGCAAACCCCCCTTCTCCGCCTCCAGACTCTTCACCAGAAGCCGGCTCAGCACCAGCACCTTACTAGCAAGCACGACCCTATCACCCTTACTCAATTCCTGGCTCCCGACACCAGCGGCCCCAGAGCCCCGGAGCACACGGCCAACAACGAGCCCGCACGCCTCGAGCAGCCTCGCCCTGGCAGCCACACCGATAGCTCCGCCGCTGAGCTCCCCCGCGCTCCGCTCGAAGCCGCCCAGACCCGTCACCTTCTTCCCGACGACGCCGCGCCCGCAGCGCCCGCCCATGCCGCCGAGAACATTCTGCACGGCGTCGTTGTCCTTGCGCATCTGGACGATTGTGTCGGCGGTGCCGAGGAGGTCGCGGTAGGAGCTGCCGACCTGGGTGCGCAGGCGGCTCGCCTTTTCGTCGATTTCGACATGGAGGGATCTGTGGATACCGCGGATCTGGGGGAGGGTGTAGTTTGAAGAGAAGACTTGGGCGGAGGAGGTGAGGGTTGAGAGGTCGGGGGTCGCCATCTTGGGTGGTCGTTGGGCGGCTTTCGACGATGGTTCGGATGGATGAGGTGGGTGGGGTTCGTTATTGGTGGATCGTTGGGTTCATTAGAATGTGATTTCGTTATAGAGTCGTTCTAATGTGTTTCTATATTCGTGAGGCCTTTGCGCTGGTCTTGCGCCTGCCTAGTGGTTGGCAATTGTAGATGTGTAGTCGGAAGTTGGAGCTTGTTGAAGCTGTTCTGGCCACATGGAACAGAAATTGGTGGGGCCAGCTTTCTCGAGCTTCGGGACCCTGCAATTAACCCCAGCTAACAAGTCTCACTTACTGTGCCAGTGTAACTCCCTCACATCAAAAACACTCCTAACGGTGTCTCGATACAAATAAATGTACACAATAAGGCAACTGAGAGCACACTTTCAAGAACAAACGCTTCAATGCTTGAAGAAAACTTTTGAAAAATTCAATTGGATTACGTGATGGCGCCGACGACAACGTAACTCTACAATTTCCTCGCCCTGACAATGCCCGTCGTGATACCAGACATCTCACCCCCGTAGCCGCCCTTGGGCTCGCCTCCCTTGTAGACAGCCTTCATGCTCCTCAACTTCTTCTGCTTCTCCTCGTACTTCATCCTCTTCTTCACGCGCGGGTTGCGGTTCTCCTTCTTGCGCTTCGGCGTCAGGCCCTTGTTCTTCTCAATGGCGTACGTGATCTTGCGCTTGCCGTCCTCCCCGACAATCTCCTGCTCCACGATGCGGTCCGCCTTGCTGGCCGCCGCCAGCGCCGCGCTGTACGCCGCCTTGTCCGCCTTCTTCTTTTTGGAGGAGGCGGCCACCATGTCGTAGTACTCGTCGTCCCCTTCCTCGCGCAGCGCCGCCGCCGTCGTCTTGCCCCCCTCGTCGTCGCTGTCGCCGTCGCCGAGGTCGGCGCCGAATTTCTGGCCGCGGGACTCGGCCTCGCGGTTGAGGCGGGCCTGGCGGTCCCGGAGACGCTCGCGGTAGGGGATGTCGACGTCGCCACCGGCCGCAGCGCCGGCGTCGGCGCGCTTGTTGGCCTTTTGAACGATTTGCGAGGTGTAGAAGCGCAGACTCTTCTTGCGGGCGGCCTTGTCCGCGGCCGTCCGGGCGTCGAGGACCTCCTCCTCGCCAAAGTCGGAGTTGTCGCCCTCCTCGGCGGCGGCAGCAGCAGCAGCAGCCTTGGCCTTCTTGGTCTTGCTGCTGCTCTTTTTGGACTGCTTAAGGAGGTCGTCGAGGTCAGCGAGCGACGCCTCGATGGCGGCGGCCTTCTTCTGCGCCTGCTTGTTCTTGGACTTGGCCGCCTTCTCGAGTCTCCGCTGTCTCCTGATCTCGTCTCTCGCCGCGGCGAAGGCGTCTTCGTCCACATCGCCGGCGGCCACGCCGCTGATGTCTTCCTCGGCGGAGGAGACCTCCTCGGAGTCGTCGGGCCGTACCAGCGCGGCGTTCTTGACCTGTTGCCAGGCGTCGCGGCACTCCAGCAGCGTCTCCATGACGTCGTGGTCGCGGAGTTCGGCAGGGTCGAGCGTCTTTTGGGCTGTTGACCCGTCGCGTGCGGGCGATGTGAGGATGGCAAAGTAACTTGCCAGTGCGGCGACGTAGCAGCCGAGGATCCAGTACTTTACAGCCTCGAGCGATTGACTCGACTTGCCGTGGGCGTCTTTCTGCAGGATGGCCAGTTGCGGTTGCAGAGTCTGGAACTCGTTCACGAGGTGCTCGAACTCGGGGTACCTGCTCTGGAGGATCTTTGTGCGCTGTTCGGGTCCCATATCGTCCGTGATCTCGACGTCCTTGAGAACCTCTGTGACAACGTCCTGGTCCTCTTTGTCCTCCTTGGCAGCTGCCAGCCATTCGCCCTCGTCGAACAGGAAATCCTCCTGGGACATCTTGGCCAGCTTCTTCTGCTGCAGGCGCTTGGCCTCGGCCTCCTCCTCGAGCGCATCGGCCTCGGTCTCGATTTGGTCGGCATTATAGTACTCCCTCTTGGAGGAACCCCACCAATTCAAATCGTTCTCGTCCTCCGCTCCTTCGCCCTCTTCCTCGGCCTCCTCCTCGGCGGCAGCAGCCTTGCCCTTCTTGGATTTCCGGGGGGGCTTCTTGGTCACTTCTGCGTCGGAATCGTCGCCGTCGTCGAGGTCCAGGATCTCCTCGTCCGAGTTTTCCAGGAACTGATCCTCCTCGTCGGCCTTCTTTCTCCTCTTAGACTTGGGGCCCTCGTCGAACATGATCTTGTCGCGGTTCAAAAAGTACTCGTCTTCTGAATCGGCGACATCTTCGTATGTGGTGATGGGTCCCAGGCGGGCATCGGCGGGGTCGAAGTCCTTGGGACCGGTGCGCGCATTTTGGCCAGAAGCCTTTCTCTTCTTCGCCATTGTGACCGACTAGTTGATTGAATAGGCCGGTTATTCAGGTGTTGGGGGGAATGGGTTGGAGCGAAAGTTCGATATCGGTGGTGAGAATCGGGCGTTGAATGGGGCGGGACCTCGCGTGCTGCACTTTGACGGCTACGAAAAATGTTCTTGCGAGCGTCAAACGCAGAACTTTTTAGTGGAGATGGAATAGCAGAGGTGTTTCTCATTGGTCTTGAGCCTCGAGCTAACGGTGGGGTCCACCATCACCAGTCCACGGTCAAATCGACGCAAGTCAGCAACATGTCACTCAAACAACGCCGTCTCATGCACATTATTTCTACCATTTGTTGAGGAATTCGACCAAACCTCCAATTCAGAACTCTGAGATATCTCAAGAGTATATTTTACGAAAGATAATTCGAATTTGGCGGGTTGGCTGACTACGAAGTATGTGAGACTATCTTACCATTACCTACACAGCGGGTACATCGTTAGCGGCGCAAGCTGGTTCAACGTGATGAGTTGATGAAGAGCTACTTAGCCCAATGAAGGTCAGGAATAGAAGGCTTTTTGTTAATAGTACAGAAACCTCAGAGTTTCTGACAATGTCAGCACTGCTGCAAATCAAGATTGAAGTCATGAGTGCTAACCCAAGCTGGCCGAACTGTCATACCATTCCGTTTGAATGGGCGCCATCAGCAGCCACTTAGACTCTAAAGGTACAAGGCACCCCACCAGGAACAGGGACCTGGATCCTGATGGCACCAGCCAAACTGCACGCACCCTGGCACCCTACTGGACCGTGTCTACGAATACCTATCTACCTCGCCCAAGGTACGGAAGCTACTCCAACTACAACGCCTCGCGTGTCTCGAGCAACTCATCGCCGACAAAGCCCGAATATAAAGCCACGAGGGCTTCCTCTCTCCCCCTTTCCAATTGCCCCTCTGCCATCTTCCATCTTCCCTCCAGACTCGAGAGGTATGGACTACGCATCGCAAGCTCTCTGGATCGCCCTGCCCGCCCTCGCAGCAGCCCTTCTCGCATCCGCAATGGGTCTGTTCAACTGGAAGAATCACATGCCCGTCGATGGCAAGGTAAGCTCAATTCCTTGAACTCCCCCCCCCTTTTTCATTCGCACACGTATACTCACCCATACCCTTCTCCAGACCGTCCTCTTGACCGGCGCCTCCGAGGGCATGGGCCGTAGCGTCGCCCTCCAACTCGCCGCAAAGGGCGCAAACCTCATCCTCATAGCCCGCAATGCCGCCCGCCTCGAAGAGCTCCTCGCTGAGTGCAAATCCGCCGCCAAGAACACGTCCACCCAGCGCTTCACCTACATCACCGCCGACATCACAAAGGAAGACTACGCCACGCCCCTCCTCGCCGAGGCCACGAGCTGGAACGGCGGCCGCAGCCCGGACATCGTCTGGTGCATCGCCGGTATGGCCTCCACCGGCTTCTTCACCGAGGTGCCCTTCTCCGAGACCCGCAGGAACATGGACGTCAACTTTTACGGCACCGCCGAGATGGCCCACGCCATTCTGCGCGTCTGGCTCGCGCCCGAGGCTCCCGTCGAGGATGAGCCGCGCCACCTCATCATGACCACCAGCGTCGTCGCCTTCTTCACTGTCGCAGGGTACGCACCCTACGCCGGCTCCAAGTGGGCCATTCGCGGTCTGGCGGACACCCTCTCGCAAGAGGTCGAGCTCTACCCGCAGAACGTAAAGGTCCACGTCGTCTTCCCGGGGACCATCACGAGCCCAGGCCTAGAGAAGGAGAACTTGACCAAGCCCCAGATCACGCACCAGCTCGAGGAGCTCGATCCCGTCCAGTCGCCCGACGAAGTCGCCACAGCGGCCATCAAGGGACTCGAGCGCGGGGATTACTTTGTGACGGTGGCGTGGCTGGGTAGCTTGATGCGGTGGAGCGGTCTCGGCGGTTCCCTGCGCAACAACTGGGTTGTCGACACGCTGGGCATCTGCCTCTCGTCCTTGGTCTGGATCTTTATCTTGCCCGACATGTTGAGACAGATTAGGAATTACGGCAAGAAACACGGGCATCCTGCGAGTTATGCTAAGCCCCAGCCGAAGCCGAGTTCGTGAGGACTCGTGTTTGAACTAAGAAAATGGAAGGCAATTGATACCCCATAATGTTTATTATTCACAACTCCAGTATTCCACTATGAGGTTGCCATGTTTATCCGACACCCTACAACACAGGGTCGCTGATTGACCACAGACTACTACACTGGACGACCTGGCACTAGTACTATACACCGCTTTCTTTGGGCCGTTGATCAATGTGTCCATTGAAGATCTGCGACAGGTGCGTCTCCGTCCTGGCAGTTAACGGCTGCAAAGCCGTGAGCAACGCCTGGTATTCCTTCCCTTCTAGCTGCGACTGGAGGTGTTCCGTGTTCTTTGCCCTGTTGTGAGAAGACGTGTAGTGTTAGCAAGTTACAACCTATGGTCCGGTGTCGTATGACAGGGAGGGAGAAGGGAAGCGAGAACAACCCAGTCGAGGAAGAATTGCTCTTCGGGTGTGTTGTTCGCACTGGGTTCACATACCGTAACCACAACGTCGCCAAACTCCTATCCATAACCTCCTCCAACACAGCACAACTCTGCAACTCCCCCTCCCCAACCCCCCTCTCCCTCTGCTCCCCGGCAAACCCCTTCAACCCCCTCATGACTTCCTCCCTCCTCCCCTTCGACGCCCAAAAGTGCACAACAGCAACCGCGCTCTCATGGGAGTCCCTACCGGGGTCATCATCTCGCTTCAACCAGCCGCCCGCGAAATCATAGTGATGCAGATCGTAGTCCGGGCTACCAACCCCTTGGACGGTCTTGAGGAGCTTATCCTCGTCCGCGAGGCGCATCTCGCGCTTGAAGACGTCGGTGGAGGTGTGGCCGAGGAAGAAGCCCGCCGGGTGGGTGTAGCCTTCGAGGCCCCAGAGGGTGTCTGGTTCGGCGTTGGAAAGGTCGTGGCCCCAGTAGTAGCTGTTTCCTAGGGGTTCGGTCGCGGAGACGGCGCAGAGGGCGACGAGTCTTTGTTTCCACTGTGGTGAGAAGGAGGGGAGATGTATTAGCCGTGCGTAAGTGTATGGGAATGCCTTGAGGACTTCAAGAGTCGAACTTGGCACACTAATGGGGTCTTACCTTTTCTAGGGAGCCATCTGAACCGACGACACGGGCGACTACGAAGAATAGGGGGCACAACATTCTCGCGCAAAGGTTCCAAGTGTAAGTTAGATGGGGTATAACGTCGATGAGTGCCTCCCTGCCTCGAGACGGGCTCTGCCTCACAGAACACGGCCAGCTTCACATATTAAAGACTATCATTCCCAATAATTTCACATGAGCTACTCATTCTCATTCGGACGGTGGATTCCAAAATTCAGTGAGTGTGAGGTGAGCTCTTGGAGTTACTGTCTGGCTTTACCCCGCGGTTCGGCGTGATTATCTCCAACAGCATAGCCAGAAAAAAAGAATCAGTCCGTCCGGTGGCTCAACATATGGACCGGCTGACCAACGGAGCATCTTTGTTTACACGAGATCATTACCGGCCATACTTTCGAACATGCTTCTGGAAAATCTGTGGTGAGGAAGACGGCTGCTCGGGAATGCTTTCCCAGCCCTGTGTTTCTGCCCATGTTGCATTGACCTCTAGTCGGCGGTACGTTGACCTATCGCGCATGGCATATGCACTTCTAGTTGTTTTCAAGTATGCGCTCGACTTTGACAGTCACCGGTCAAGGTTTGAGCCAGTGCGGGTGAGGTATCTGATTCACGGCATCAAGAAATTAGGAATGGTATAGCTGCATTCAAGTAAAGACCACGTATTGAACTGTCTTCATAACTCTTGTGTCTAAACTAAGTGTATACTCTATGATAGCAATCCTTTCTCTCCGCTAGACTTACTTGTTCATTCATCACTCTCGGGAATCTCAGAGTAAGAAGCCTTCCGGCAGATCAGGTCCTGCGAAATGAGGGAGTTAGATCAACATCAACCAAACGTTCTCGAGCGCAGTCCACAGAATGAACACTCACCCCAGATGTGAAGGCTATCAGGAGAAGCCTTGGAATGGTTCGGCGGATGCGAACTATTCATTTGATCGCCATCGACATAATGCTCAAAGATGAACTTGCTAGGGTCAAACCTGTGTGTCAAGATCATATTAGTCGGAGGGAACTTGTCCCACCCAATATCCACAAACTCCTCAAATGCGCCGGGTAAAAGATACAAAGGAAGGAAGCTCACCAGTAGTCAAAAATCTGGCTTCCCATAACATGCCTCCCAACACCCCAGCAATTCTCATACCCCCGCTCGCGAAGCCAGTCATGCCCTAGGAACTGCAAGTCCGAGTCGTGGGTCTCGAACGAGGCGTGATGGACGTGGAATTTCGGGCCTTCGAAGAAGAAGAAGGAGTGGTGGTCTACGAGCTCGTCGCCGCGGTCGAGTCGGAGGAAGACTGTGACATTACGTCCGGTTTCGTCGTGTACAAGCTGTCTCTCTAGTGGGTTATTTCATTTTCCCTCGGTCACGATATGATAAAGTGGTGTAGGGGCGGTGAGGAAGTTTGCTTGACTTACGTCGCTGGGGATGAAGTTGAATCGGGTTGTGAAGAAGTCGTATGTTTGTTGGAAGTCTGTCACGCATGCGCCGAAGTGGCCTAGTTTGTGTACCGGTGCCGGGCCCATAAACAAGTAAGTTTGACTGAACAAGTATGTTTCCAAGAACCGATGTAATCAACTTACCTTTGTCAAACCGCTGAAACGTGCCCGGCTCTCTATGTTTCTCTGTTGGCTAAGGCGATAGTCAGACTTTTAGAACGCCACAGTGGAATAACAAGAAACGTGTTCGGAGAGAAAAGGGCTTGTACACACAAAATTGAACTCGCGCTCCGGGAAAACCGTCGCCTTCTCCCGCATCACCTGTCCACAAACAAGGTGAAACGGAAACTTATCAAAACCGCCCTCGAACGTCACACATCGGCCCCCACCAGGAGTCTTGCTCAACTCATACGGTGCAGAAGCCCCAGGGAGCGTCTGGGACGCATACAAGAGATCCTCCTCGGACTCGACGACAAAGGCCGCGCCGCCAAAGGCGTCTTTGGCACCGGCTTCGGCGCAGAGGACGAAGGGTTCAGGGCCGTAGCCCCGGTAGTACACGCGGGAACCCTCGCGGGAGGCCTCTACGAAGCCAAAGTCGCGGAAGAAGGCTTCGGCTCGTTCGAGGTTTTGGTAGGTGTAGTTGATGTGTGCTATTCGCACGAGGTTGATTTTGCGGGTGGGAGCGGTCATCTTTGCTGTTGTTGTGTTGGAGCTTGGTTGGGTGTTTGGAGGCGGAGATGGGTCGTCCTTGATCAGGTCTTCACACAATGAAGGATTTGAGGCAAGGGGATACTTGGAAATCTGAGTATTTGAATATAAATCTATATTAGTCTATGTTTTGTCATGATTTCTAACGGATGGTATTGAATTAACATGAGCTATCCGAGGTAGAGGGAAACACCGTCGTCAAAAACCGTGCCCGATCGATGTCCGCCTTTGGAGAAAATTACCCCGACGCAACCACAGTTCAGTCAGACAATAATAGCCCGTCGCATCTGTCCGCGGAACGGAAATACTCGCCATGCATCATTTCATTCGGATTTACGACGCATTGATACTGCGAGATAACCGACCTAATTATTTTTTGGTAATGACGGAATTCTCCTTCGTCGTCATCTATTGTGATAACATCGTTCATGGGAGAAGCTCTGTGCTGCTTCCCATCGCCACTTACAGAAGTCTTCCTTTACCAAACACTAAACAACGTCCCCAATTGAGGTTATTTAGATGACGACTCAGAAAAAAGTTGCAATGAAACCGGCCAGTGCAGATAATCAATCTCGTGAGGGCAGCGGTGATTCCGCAGCCCTCGAGACCGACATGCTCATCATCGGCGCAGGCCCTGCTGGGGCTTCACTGGCGTGTTTCCTCGCATCATACGGTTCGTTCTGGATGCGCTTGGTTCTCAATGGGAATCACCTTGGACTGACATGTATCTTGAAACAGGGCTGAAGGGAATCATGATCAGCGCAAGTCCCGGGACCGCAGATACTCCGCGGGCTCACATTACGAACATGGCCGCTCTGGGTATGTTCTAGCTTTCCGCTTTTCTGCAGTAGCCTGTCTTCGACATTCAAGAAGAGAAGCCTAATATGCACTCAGAATGTCTCCGAGATATCGGCTTGGACAAGGAACTTCAAGCGATTGCGACGCAAGGTCATTGCATGCAACACACGCGTTGGTGTTACAGCATGGCTGGCGAAGAGTTTGCGCGTATTCCTTCATGGGGGAGCGATCCCAGAAGAAAGGTATCTATTCGACCCTTTGCGTTCTGCTTCTTACCGGACAAAGATCTCAGAAGCTCACTTACCTCAGGGTGACTACGAACTCGCGAGTCCTTGTGACCCCGTCGACATACCGCAAACCGCATTAGAGCCAATATTGGTTCGACATGCAGCCCAACATGGCTTCATTGTCAGGTTCAACACCAAGCTCGTATCCTGGAGCAAGGAATCCTCCCCGAAGGGCGGTACCTAGCCACCGTCTGGGACATGGTCTCCAAAACCCACTACACCATCCGGACAAAATACATCTTTGGCGCAGACGGCGCCCGAAGTCTCGTCGCAAAGACCCTCCAACTACCTCTAGTAGCAAAACCGGGAGGTGGCCTGGCCATCAACGTCCTGGTCAAAGCCGACCTCTCTCATCTGATGGACCATCGGAAGGGCAATCTGCATTGGTTAATGCAGCCCGGTGTCGATCACCCCAGCTTCGGCTGGATGGGTATCGCGAGGATGGTGAAGCCGTGGTTTGAGTGGATGTTCATTCTGTTCCCGACCAAGGAGTTTGATGCGTCGGCTGAAGTCACGGAAGAGGCGTACAAGCAACGCGTTAAAGAGTTCATCGGTGACGACACCGAAGTCGAGGTTCTCTCCGTCTCAAAGTGGTTCGTCAACGACATTGTTGCCGAGAGATACTCGGACGGGAACGTGTAAGCAAGCCCGATGCAACTTCTCTTTCGTACATCTACCGCTATAGGTCCAAGCTAACGAGAAAACCTCCAGATTCTGCCTCGGTGACGCAGTCCACCGCCACCCCCCAATGAACGGCCTCGGCTCAAACACCTGCATCCAAGACGCCTTCAATCTAGCCTGGAAAATCGCCCACGTCGAAAAGGGCTCCGCCAGCACCGCCCTTCTCGACACCTACAGCGTCGAGCGGCAGCCCGTAGGTCTCGGGATCGTGGCCCGCGCCAACGAGGCCTTCCGGGACCACTACGCCGTGTGGGAGTCCTTAGGCATGCTGGAGAAGACGGCAGAGGGACGGAGTGCAATCTTTGAGCAGCTCTCGCACACGACGAGCGAGGGCCGGGAAAAGCGCCGCGCGTTCCGTGAGGCTATTGGCCGGACAGCTCATGAGTTTCATGGTCTTGGTGTGGAGATGAACCAGCTTTATTCCGGGCCGGCGATCTATGCTGAGGATGAAGATGGGCCGTATGTGCCTTCGCCGCAGGAAGCTGAGGATCCTGTTGCGTATTACGGTCCTGGCACGTACCCGGGCCGCCGAGTACCTCATGTTTGGTTGAACAGGGCGGTTCCGAAGGAGCCTGTGTCGACTATTGACCTGACTGGCAAGGGTGGCTTTGCCATCTTCACAGGCCCAGGCGGAGGTCTTTGGCGCGAGGCGGCTGCTGCGGTTGCGGCGAAGCTGGGTTGCGAGATCAGGGTCCATTCTATTGGTTTCCGCCAGGACTGGGAGGATGTTTACTATGAGTGGGAGCGCCTTCGAGGGGTTGAGGAGTCAGGTATTGTCCTCGTTCGGCCGGACCGCTTTGTGGCGTGGAGGCAGAGCGAGGTATCCACTGACTTGGGGACGTGTGTTCAGAAGCTTCTGCAGGTGACGAAGACCGTTTTGCTCCGTACTGATGAAAGACGGGGACTCGGTGCCTTAGACGTAGTTAAGCTAGAGACTTCAGACCTATTTATACATCATTTCCCCCTATTGAAGTTTTCTGTCCTCGTAGTAGACATCGGGGCACCACCCGACTTACGCGCGCTCCACGTCCCAATAGGAGACCTGGGCGCCGTTCTGCTCCCTCTGGTCTTGGCTACTTGCAGATTTTCACTCTGCCACGCCTTGGCTGTCTACTTTCTTGCCAAAGCCTATCTCACAATGAATATAGTGTAGGAGAGCGAAAGGGATGAAGGAGAGATAGAAAAGGGACCGGAAGCTACTCAATTCTCACTGTGGCCATAAAATGTCCCATTCTCTTTCGTAGTTTTCACGGCCGCTGTCTTTGCGGCAATTCTTACGAGCATTGTGGCTATTTGGGACTTAGAAAGCCGATCGTGATCACTGCTACATTTTACTTTCACGAAATCGGGTTCCTTTTATATGTGTGTGCTCCCTGAAGTACTGATACATCACATGAAGATAAGTGACGTGTAGGATATCACAATAGCGCTGATACGACTAATATACGTAAGATGAACGAGTGGTGGTGCAAGTTCGTTATTTCTGTATGCTTTGATATATTTTTTCATGTCGTTCGCCAAATCTAGGAGAAGCACTGCCATTATTAGAACTACCAGGCCTCATCGCCGTGTCAAGGCGCTTGCGGCAAGCTCAATCATACTGAGCCAGTAAAACCTCAGCTTCCTTAAACTCCCGCAGGATTGTCTCAACATGATGCTGACTCCTCGGTGTAATCCGAACATCAAACTCTAAAGGCGCCTGCAAGATACCGGGATTATACGCATGCGGGTCCAAGGGCATAGCCTTGCCCGTAACAGGGTCAACAGGATCAGCGAACTCGAACGCCCAAAGAAGCTTGGAGGCGATGCGCCACATGTTGCGCTCCGCGAGGTGGATGCCGGGACAGATGCGACGGCCGGCGCCGTAGTTGTAGTGGTCTCTGTTCTCCCATTCCGGGCTGCCGGCGTAGTCGTTGGCTAGCTTTGGGTGCTTTAGGTATCTGTCCGGGTCGAATCGCTCTGCATCGGGGTAGTTTTCTTCGGTATGGTGGAGGGCCCAGGTTGGGATGAAGATTGTTGAGTCTTTGGGGATCAACATCCCGTTGTACTCGTCGTCTGTAGGCACGCCATCGTTAGCATTGTTCATGTTTGGGAGAGGATGTGCCGGGTGTTGTGAACGAACCTTGACGAACTTTGTGCGGCAGGGCAGTGACAGCACTAGATATTCCCGCATAGTTAGTTCTCAGATACTTCCGAATGGAATGAGGAAGTGGCAACAAGACTTACACCGGACGCCAACGCATCCCTTCCTTGACGATGCAGTTCACGTAGGGCAGCTTCGAAAAGTCATCCCATCGAGGGGAACGACCACTCCCACAGGCTTCATCAATCTCGACCTGAGCTTTCCTCTGAACCTTGGGGTGCAGCGCGAAAGCGAGAATCAGAGTCAAGAGTTGTGCGGCAGTGGTATCAGCACCACCCTCGATAATCTCTCCCATGAGATTGGTAAATGCATGCTGGCTGATCGCCTCGGGCCACCCGTTCTCTTCATACTCATCAAGTAGGCTGTCGATGATGCAGTTGCGTCTCTCTCCACTCGTGCGACGCTCTTCGACGAGTCGACGTGCGGTGGACCAAGTCGCATCCATGGTCTTGCCGGCGTCGATTGCGCGGCGTTTCCAGAATGCCATTGAGGAAGGGATGTATCGCAGGAAGGTGAAGACATCTACCGGAGGGGCGGCTCCAGGCTCCATTGATGCTGTCCACTTTGATGGCTCACATTAGCATGACGAGTGAATATCGTGTAAATTTGATCGTACCTTTGCCATTACGTCGTAGACTCCCTAGAATTAGACATCAGCTCGGCCTCATACCGAAAAGGGGGCCAATGGTAAGCGTCATTGCGTTGATGAGGATGGCTTACATGTCCCCAAAAAGAGTTCATATCAGGTGCTCTAAAACCGTACGTGATGGACGTTACCACTGAAGCGGTGTATCTTCGGATCTCGTTGAAGAAACCCTCAGGCTTGTCTAGGAGACGAGTCATCAAGACTGTGGCCCTTTTCAAGGCATGTTAGCGTTCATGATAGAACAACTCAAGAACATGGTGGTTATTGGTCGCTTACTCTGCCTCTTGAACTCGAAAGTGTTGTTCGTCAAGCCTCTTCGGAGAGAAATTGTGTGAAATCACCTTGCGTTTAGACCGCCATGTGGTGTCCATCTGCTCGAGAGCAAGGTGGTCACCGTGAGTGAGTAGTTTTCCCACATAACTAGGAGGTCGATCGGAGTAAACGCTGCCTTTCTCGATGAGAAGCTTGTGAATGGCTTCACGGTCACACAGGACGATGATGGAGGATGGTCCAACCTTCAAGGAGAAGATGGATCCGTATTGAAGTGCCCATTCGCGTAGCCTATCATATCAGATTTTCTCAGCTTCTACCGCCAAAGAGGCGACAACATCTGACTGAATTCGAGGATAGATTGACTAACTGTTTGAAAAGCCCCGTGGCAGGAATCTGATGAGCGTTTCCGAGGACTGGCAGAGTAGGTGGCCCAGGTGGCATCCGCGGGTCTCGCTTCCCTATCTGCAAAGTCTTATACAGCAAGACGCCAAGGACGAGAATTATAAATGCAAGTTGACACATCGCAGATCGATTTACAAAATGTCTATTGAGTTACTTCCACAACTAAATGAGTATCCTGCATGGCTTTTGTACACGTCCATCCATGCTACACTAACATCCCATTCCCAACCAAACAGCCGTGAAGTTGACATCTGCATCCTCGTTAGCAATTCTCTTACACTGATTGGACCCGGACGAATCTGCATCTGTCAAAGGCATCGCGTTCCTGAACGAAATTTGTCCGGCGGGGTACATAGTGTGAGAGAATCAGTCCGGGGGGCGGGGAACCGGTTCCTGCGGGAACCCCGCGTTTCTCACCTACCAACCAACATGTCGTGTTCCTATTCGTTATAGCGTGAGCTTGGGGTTTGTCCTTGATCCTTGGCCGTTAAGCCCCCCCCCCAATGTCTAGCAGATTTCCCCGGATTTACAAGATGCTAGATGCCAGAACGGGCTCGGCTTTTGGGCCCAGGATCCGGACAACTATGGGGTCTTGTTCCCCGCAACCCGGGCCAGCCACGGCCCCAACCGGTACGAGTTACAGCGGAGCTTTCCACGTCATTTGGCAGCATTTATTGGGGAGTTGTGAAACTGGCTGACCCACCATGGGTGCCGCAAAAGCACCAAACAAGATCGCGTCCCCTGCGACCCCTTCCAGACTGGCTTTGTGTCCACGATCTTGACCTTCTACATAGTCTATTTGTGCCAGTAACCGACTTGAATCATGGCATCTGACGTTGATAGAGAAACGGGAGTTCCATCTCCCTGTGGTACTCAGGAGGGTGGCACTCAAGAGGGCGAGATATCAGATCTTGCCTGCAAATCTTGCAAGAGGTGAGAGATCGTCGTCTCTTTGCCCAGGTTCTAAAACCGCAACTGGCTGACACGTTCCTAATCGGGAACTTAGGAGGAAAGCAAAATGGTGGGTCATTTCATAGCTTTGATCTTATCACCTTGCCGTGCCCATCTACATGTACGGTCTAACGTTACCAGTGATCGTCTGTTGCCATGCTGTACTCTCTGTGAGAGGAATTCCCAAGCGTGCGATTACCCATCAACGCGACTGAAACCAGGCCCAAAGACAGGTACCGTAATCGCGCGACAACTTGCGCCCGATGTCCGCATTGGCTGACAACAACCTCAAAGGCTCACGGCATCGTAAGCGACGGCGACTAAGCAGCAACCTCGCTCATGTTGACGAAGAGCAACATGTTGAGGCGGAAGACGATGCCCCCTCCGTGGGGCCGGAAGTCTGCTCAAGATCACTTCCCCCTGTTGAACCACAACTCCTTGAGTTCCTCTCCTCGGGGCTTACAGACCACGATGATCTGACTAGTCTTCACTCAGACTCATCATACATATCTGATACGCGCTTCGTGCGCGCCATCAGCTTATCAGCCCTCGTCCATCCATCTCATGATGTGAACTTGACGCCTCCATCGAGCGTCCCCTCACCAAATCGTCGCGGCTTCTTCTTGCAACTTGCCGGGGCTCAAAACACCTTGCAGCAAGTATGCGAGTCACTAGACTTATCCATCGCATCACTGCAAACACTGTGAGATGACGAAACTAAGACTCATTTGAGGCAGGCGGCCCCGCCTGATAACTAACATCTACTCCAGGACCGACGTCTATTTCGACAACATGACTGCATTCTCTCTCTTCCATCAACCCTCATTCGGAGAAAAGGTCCAGGGAATCAAAAATGCCCTTCACCTCAAGGCGCTATTGGCCTCAATGTTCTCTTTTTCAGCTCGTTTCGCCACAGCTCCCGACGCCGAGTCTCCGCCATCGTCCGAAGCCTACAGCGGCCCGAGTCACGAGCAACTACACAAATCAGCCATGGGTTTCGTCAACGAGGCAATCGAAGAATACGACGACAAGCCTCCACCGTTATGCATCCTCCAAGCTCTCATATTATGCACCTTTTACGAGCTGACGAGAGGCGTCCGCGGTCGCGCATGGCGCATGCTGGGCAATTGCGTCAGAATCGCCTACGAGCAGCGACTTCATCTCGTCGACAGTATCACGCAGGCCAGACCTCAGTCAGGAACGTCTGGCGTGGCTCAATGGTCAGCGATGGAAGAGAGGCGCCGTAGCTGGTGGGCAATCTGGCAGATGGACATCTTCGCCTCGACGGTGCACAGGTTGCCTACCGCTATTGACCACAGCGTAGGCATGAACGAAAATCACCTCCCGGTGCCCGACATAATGTGGTTTCAAAACATGTACCAACCGAGCTGCCCTCTTGACCTCGCTCCAATGGAGCGGGCGAAAAAGTTGAGCAAGTCTGGGAATACTAGCGATGTCGCGTGGTTCATCGTTCTCAATTCCATCATGCGCAACGCTCAGGTTCTAGCCCGCGGCAATCTTCACAGCGTTCTTTCGGACCTCAGTCCCGCACCGGGAGCCGACTCTCGCCCCCTTAAACAATATCTCCACGGATCGTTCCGTAAAAGGCAGTCGGCCGAAGATGCACAACAGCTACCCGTTCTCATTGGGGCTCTCAAGCAGACTGTCGCCTTACTACCGAGATCACTCACTTACCAAGGAGCTCGATTAGACTTCAAGTCCACGGGCTTCTCATCTACGAGCGACTGCCCTCAGCTACCATCGGAGAGGCAGTCAAATGCTTCACAGCATGCAATTTACCTCATGATCCAGCTAGCACGTTTCATGATCTATCATCATTTCGCATTCAACGAAATCTTACTAGGCACAATTTTCTCAGAAGCAGACAGTCCCCCTTCATTCGGATGGACTTCCTCATCCAAGGATGAGAAGGAGAGGCTATCCAACTCAGAAGGCCTTCGGAACTGCCTTGAGGCATCAGACGACATCCACTCCCTCGTCAGCCGCTCCTCAGAAACACACATACAATGGACAAACCCATTCTTGGCGAGCACAGTATGGCTCGCCGCCTCACTGCAAGTCCTCCGCAAAGTGTTTGCACCGTCAACATGTAACGAAGCGTCAGAGATGAAAATCAAAGAGCTCCGTGCAGTATGTCAGAGATACACCGACTTTTGGGGAACGCCCGAAAGTCTCTTGCAAAACCTGGATTCTTTGGAAGAACGACTGGCACAGAAAAAGGCAGAGATCGCGGCGATTGAGGCAACTCACATGCTAGGGTGCGCCTCATATCAACACGCCGGGCAGCATACTTCCGCATTCGACGGAACAAGTGCGTTACAAAACTTTGGCCTCATGATGGGCCCAGGGCTGGACCAGGACTCTTTATTTACGTCCGTCGTGCCTGGGTATCAAGCCTCGATGGGACAAGACGTGCCCACACCAATCTCGCCGCGAAACACTTCAACTGCTCAGGGTAACTGGTTCGACGGGCAGCACGATGGCGCGGAAGGACCCCATAGCCTCACTGCCGATTGCTCTGCTGGTGGGTTAGGGATGTCGGGTCTCAATGCTTCGGATGAGTTTGCCGGATTTCCAGAGGGCGATCCGGAACTGAGCTTTTTCATGTCTACCTTACTGTAACGAGTGCGGGATATCCCTTGTCAGGGCGAGGATCATTCATGCCTTCAATAAGTCAGCGTCGAATTTTGGAATTAACTTTTTTGTAAAGAGCTGTGATGAGGTTGCCTGTGACTCTTGGGGCATCGACGTGGCTACCCGGGGGCTAGTGCCGGCTCGAACGTATTTCTACTCCGGGTCAACCGAGTGCTGTATGCTATTTTTTGAGCCTTTCAGTCTTTCATAGCGAGTTTGCCTATCGGGAAGGTAGTTTCTACCGTAATCTCGGTCAAATGGCGTACCGGTTGGGGTTGTAGTGCATGCAGACGGACGGACTGATTCCATATAGAATCTCTCTCGATCCGACGTTCCGGTCTAATACGAGCCAACGAGAAATCGGTTGTGGCATGGGCATATGATGCATACCTTGCGCTTTTTCATTTTCCAGCTACCAGGCCCTCCCTCCATACCTCTTCCTCAATCAAGTAAAGGTCTTCGTTAGGTTCACAGCTTCAGCCCGGATCCTCATACCCACGACTTACCCCCAAATCCTTGATTCAGGATGAGCCCTTCTTGGACACACTTGGTGCGCTTCATCGCCGAAGAGGACAATGAGGTACACCTTGGCCAGATCGATGCCACCCAGTATCCCGATGTTGGACTAGCGACACTGGAAGGCCAAAGAGTGAAAGCCAAGGTCGTGGTCGGGGATGTATTTGACGGGCGTGTCACGGAAGATGTCTTGCACGTCAAACATGTAAGTCACGCTGAATTTTCCATCTGAGCTTACTTTCTTCCCGTGTTTACTGACGAGACTGCAAACGGCCTCTAGCTCCTATCGCCCATTACCGCCAACCAAGTACCAATCATTCGATGCATGGGACTCAACTACCGTGACCACGCCAAGGAAGCCAATATGCCCATCCCTGAGGTCCCCGTCCTATTTATCAAGCCGAGGACAGCTTTGACGGGTCCCCAACCGTCTACTATCAACATCCCCAAGATTTCTCAGGATGGGTCGAGCGACTACGAGGCCGAGCTTTCTCTTGTTCTCTCAAAGTCTGGTCGCGACATTTCAGAGGAAGAGGCCATGGACTATGTGCTTGGCTACACTTGCAGTAACGATGTTAGCGCCCGGAAGCAGCAATTTAAGAATAGCCAGTGGAGCTTCTCGAAAGGTGAGTAGCGGAAAGTCTGCCCTGCTGACCTCCTCCACGAAGGGCAATCTGCTCAACTTTCAAGGTTCGATGCTAACTTCCATGTAGGTCTCGATGGATCTTGTCCCATAGGGCCGGTGCTAGTTGCGAAGTCTGCCATAAAAGACCCTCATGCTTTGCAAATCAAAGCCATTTACAACGACCAGGTCGTCCAGGACTCCAACACGAAGTGAGTTATTGGCCTCCATTGCACGGGGCCTAACGTTGTGTACTGACTTCAAGGGCAAAGGGAAATGATCTTTACCATCCCACAGATGATCTCGTTCCTTTCGCAAGGTACAACTTTGGAGAAGGGCACAATCATCATGACGGGCACTGGCCCGGGTATCGGTGTGATGAGAGACCCGCCCATCACGCTTCTTGATGGGGATGATATGAGGATTGAGATTTCCGAGATTGGCACTCTTGTCAACCGTGTTCGGTACGAGTGAAGATGTAATCTAGAGAAAGACTGAGAGAATTGGGCGGAAACTACCTACTTAGACTTAGACGTGGTTGAACTTTACATTTCTAGAATTCACTTGGTCGTAACTTGTCCTTGGCGAACTTCATGACTCCTTGCATAGCTCAGCAAGTGCTTGGAGTTCCATCAATGACTTATCCATCAAGGCTTAACTCGAGGGTCTACTCGAACCCGCAAAGGACATGAATTCTCGAATATGCATCACTTCCCCAATTCAGTCGAGCCGATACATACTTACTAACACAAACACCAAAGCTCGGAACCTCACCCTTACGGTAGTTTACCAGCTACCTCGACATCGAGGTAGAACGATGTGAGTTTCATTTCACGAATTTACAATCGAGAGACCTCAACTACCAGGCGCCACGCCAATCGTCATGCCGCCATCGACATTAAGAACCTGCCCCGTCATCCACTTCGATTCCGGCCCGCACAAAAACACCACAGCATCAGCAATATCCCCCGCCGTCCCCAACCTCGGCCACGGCGTCGCCTTCCTCATCAACTTGTGAATCCCAGCATCCTCAAGATTCCCCCTCGCCAATCCCGTCGCCACAACGCCCGGCGCAACGCAATTGATGTTGATGTAGTCCTTGGCGTGGTCCAGAGCACCGGCTCGGGTCATATGGTTGACCGCAGCCTTTGTAGCGGAGTAGGCCACTTCTCCGGGGAACCCGACGACGCCCGCGCAGGACGAGATATTGACGATGCGTCCGCGGCTGCCCCATGTAGAGTCGAGGTCTTGCTGGAGGAATTGGCGGATGGCGAGGCGGCACATTTTTGCGGTGCCGAGGGTGTTAACGGCTGACATTTTTGCCCATAGTTCGTCGGACTCGTCTGCGAAGAGGTGAAATGGGGCCCAGTAGCCTGCACAGTTGACGAGGATGTCGAGGCGGCCGAATTTCTGAGGGGGCGTGAATTAGGCAAGACCTAAAGGGGACTAGGACGGTAGGGTTGAGGGGTGTGTTGCTCACCTCATTTGTTTTCTTGAATACGTCTTCGACTACTTTGGTGTCTGTGATGTCTCCGGCGAAGAAGATGGCCTCGCCTCCCGCAGCGGAAATCACCTGTGCCGTTGTCTTGTCGATATCTTCTTCGTAACCTTTGGAGTTGGGCAGATCGTGGAGATCAAACGAGATGATTTTGACACCGAGAGATGCCAACTGAATGGCGATAGCCCTCCCAACTATAGAGGTTGCGATCGTTAACATTTATCTTCATTATTTCCTACCCCATGGAGTGGGGACTCACTGCCCGATGAGGAGCCTGTGACCAACGCCACCTTGCCTTCCAATGGTCTTGACATTTGTGCAAAAGTTTGAATCCTGAAATAGCGAAAGATTTTGCTAGCGTCTCGGATGGATTTCTGGTCTTGAGTAAAAGAGAAGTGATTGTCCTGTGTTTGGAATCGTGGTGATCTCTAGAACTAGTTGTAAGATTGTATGATGCGGAAGTAGAGGTGTGTGTGTGTCTGTTACAGCTACATTTAAATCACTTGAAAGTCAGAATGTATGAGATTCGAATGAACGTTCAGCTTCAACCATGCATGTGGGCGCGGGCAGTCGATGTCCTGTCTTGGACGGCACTTGAAAGTTAGGCCGAATATCAGTCCGCAGTGAGACGGTAGGCCGACTACGGCATAATTATCGACCAACACAACCAGGGTGCTGTTGAGACAAGGTCTACTCCAACGACTCTTAAGACGCTTTTCGATGCGCAGCAAACTCTGAATAGATATGCCCACGAGTTGGTATCCCGTCTGAAATATTTCGGTACAGACGCCAATCAGGCAAACCTTGGATCCGTCATGTTCGCACGAAAGGTGTTCTGTGTCACCGGTGCCGCGTCGGTAAAGCTTCCCATACTAACCCGGTGGTCTCAATCCGTGCTTCAACCATGATTTCCTGATGTGATAGCTAAGTGATAAAATTGTCTAGGGCATAGGTCGATCGACGGCAATCATACTAGCGCAAAGAGGTGCCGCTGCTCTTGCGGTCAGCGACGTGAATGCAGCGGGTCTAGATGAGACCGTGAGAGAGTGTAAGCTCTCCTGATGCCAAGTCAATTTAGTTACACCGCGAAGATGAAGCAATTGTTGACAATCAAGTAAAGGCGAGAAAGCAGGAGCCAAAGTGCTAGCTTCCAAAGTTGACGTCCGCCACGACCATGAGGTGAAGTCGTGGATCCAAGAGTCTTTCACCAGGTTTGGGAGACTCGATGGGGCTGCCAACGTCGCTGGAGTCGCCGGCGGGACGGGATCTACAATCATCGAGACAATTGTGAGAATCAACCCCTTCTATCCAGGGCTCATATCTGCCGTGATCGGTGTAAGCTGACGTCCTAGCTTCGCAGGCTCAAGAAGACTGGGACAACACCATAGGCGTCAATCTCAACGGGGTCCTCAACTGCATGCGAGCTCAACTGCCATTACTACCAAAGCCAGGTGGGGCAATCGTCAACGTTTCGAGCACGTCCGGTCGAAGGGGGCTACCGCATAGCGCCGCGTACGCGACCAGCAAGTTTGGCGTCATTGGGTTGACCGAATCAGCCGCTGGGGAGTATGCTAAGGATGGCATCAGGATCAACACGATACTGCCGTGAGTGAACTGCTCAAATTCTAAGAAACGTAATGAGTTCTGACTGAAGGGTTGAATCAGCGGGCCGGTCGATACTAAGATCTTTCGAGACGGCGAGGCATTGGGACTCTTCGACTCAGACATGCTTTCTAAGGACACCTTGCTTCGCCGTCTGGGTCAACCTGACGAGATTGCAAAGGTCATCTGCTTTCTCTTGAGTGAAGATGCCTCATACGTGACAGGAGGTAAGATGAACCACGCTCTTGGCTTGTATGTCGGTGATTGTCGTGTACTTACAGGGAATAACAGCACACTGGAATGTCGATGGAGGCTACCTGGCTTGCTAGAGGCGTTGAGGACGGTCCAGTATGCTAGAAACTTCTTGATTTCATCCTCCTTGCCTTCCTCTTCAGTCAGAGTTTCTCGTCTACCAAGTGGCAGAGGCGCCTTCAAAAGCCATAATTATGTGTGTGCAGAGAGCGCACAGCAGTCTCTAATCCATGCTCCGAGGCTGTACAGTTGAGAAGTTGGGAGTTTCTGAGGGCCGGTGCCATACTTCTAGGTTTTGACCAGTCAAGGAACAACGTCTTTGCGGTCTTTTCTTCTTCCACCAACGTTATGAAAGAAGCATATGGGGTCTTGGGGAATCTATATTCCTTCACCACCTGACTCACGATTCGCTTCTCGAGTCTGCCGTCATCTCCATGGAACTCCGAATAGTAATTCAATGCTTTGTCCATCACTGTCACGTACTAGGAGAAAAAGCTTTTTTTCTAGAAGTCGCAGCATCAGCCCTATGGGTCAAGGTCCCGAACGATCGTCGCTGATGCTCTAGCGTGACGTGTTTCCAAACCCCGCACCGCGTCAAAATTGCCAAATACAGACATTAAGAACCGTCTTCTCGAAGGACCACAAATCCCGACTGGTTTAAGCTGACAAACTTTGGGTTCCGGGGACAACTTTGCCAACTTTTACTAACTGGTCAACAACGTCAATGTCGTATATAGCATAGTGCCTCGCTGTCTATGTATACCTACTTATAGATAGGACTCGTTCTTGATCACTTTGGCTTTAGGTAGAATCGCTATCGTGCAGCAACCACTTCAACCACTTACAACATGTCCCACCACATCACCACCCACGACGCAACCGGCAAAGCCGTCTACTCCCACGCCTCAGGGACCCGGGAATTGCACCAAGTTCCCTCGGGCTCGATTCAAATCGCTGCCTCCACTCACAACACACCACTCGACCTCTCCAGCGAGGCAGACATTGAACAATAAAAAATCGACCGCACGCAGTCTCTGTTCCTGAGCCCGCGCGTCATCACACCAGACAAGGGCACCTCAGCGCTCGTCACGGCTCTCAACCCCGGCGAGGAGTGGCCGATGCACAGGACCATGACGTTTGACGTGGTGTATATGCTCGAGGGCGTGGTGGAACTGGACCTCGACTCCGGGGAGAAGCGGGTCGTGCGGGCCGGCGACTCGGTCACGCAGAGGGGGACGAAGCATAAGTGGGTGAATGTCACGCCGGATGGCGGGGTGACCAAGTGGATTGTCTTTGCGCAGGCTGCCGGGGATGTTGTTCATGCTGGGGGGAAGAGTCTTTCCAACGAGTGGGATTGATCTATTCACAGTGATGGGCGAGGGAGGCAATGATACCTGACTGTACAGACGACGTTTATGTATTCCTTGGCATTGCGAAGGGGTGTTCAATCCCCCCTGAGACTCGCGCCGCGGATTTTCTAATTCATCGCTACATCGATTAGAGAAAGTGATTCCATCCCCATGGACATACAACTAGTTGGACAAATTAAACTTAGTGTGGCAAACAACACACCAGTGAGAGCTCGGCAGCGAACACAAAAGCTGTATGGTACGTGTTTCCTTCTGACAAGGTGTTTCAATCGAAAAGTGCAAATATTGTGAGAGCAAAGTACCGCTTAAATTGTCTAGGATCTCGAGAAATGTCAACGCGGAACGTGTTGAGCCCGACTAAGCTATAGTGCATCGCGACAGTGATGTGTTCTCAGACAGCTTTCCACATATACACTGCGTGGCATACTTGCATCTGCAACGAAGACGCTGACCACACTACAATCATGCCACAACGTGGTTCTGCTCAACCACTCTTCTCAACCTCATGCAGATCTTGATAATCCGAGTTGGGATACCAACGCATTGAAACTACTTGGACATCGGCTCTGTGTTTGATCTCAAAATTGATACTGTTTTCAGCTGATTGAACCACTGGCTTCGAGTCGTCAACGTCCCAGCTGTCTTTTGGGCCGCCGATATTTGTTCGGTAGTAAGTAAAGCGGCCGCTTAGTTCCAAACGGCATCTTCGTACTTCATTTGCACTATGGTATTCGAGACGGAATAGGTTCTCGTCGAGACTGTGGTGCTTCGAGATCTCAACGTAATAGTTGTTATTCTTGTGCCAATAAGTGCCAATCAACCGTTCATATCCTGCGTAAATCTGCGTTCCGTCGGTCCCAGATAGCACAACTTGGACCGTCGGCTTATCGTGATATACGATCGTGTCGGAAAATTTTGGCAAAAGCGTGAAGGATTTGGTGGGCGTTGAATGTAGTAGTTTAGATTGAATGTTGTCTTAGCCGGTGAGTACTCGCTGGATAAGCAGCTATTCCTAGCTTTTATATTAGCAAATTTCCTACAAGTTCTTGTGTGGAAGACCAGTGTCTTGAAGGATATCATGAATGCTAAAGGATGGGCGTCTACTCCGCTGTAATGCGGTAAACCTCTGCTTCGCATCAAAGGATCTCATCGTCATAGAATAACAGCCTTCTTTGCCGGTGACCAGTGAATACTGTTCAGTAAACTCTACTAAACTAACGAATAACAATTAAAGAATCTTATGGAAGCACCTCAGCTTGTGGTAATCGCCTTCACCAAGGGATCGCTAAATGAACCAGCATGCTAAAAGGCAGTGACAACATTTCTGCTCAAAAATCTGAACAGTCTTCACTGCTTGCCTCATCAAGAGCTTGAAAGCATGTTTGCAAGAAGCTCTTTCATGAGACCGCCATACCTTGGTTCCATAAAGCTGTCCACCGGCGCAAGCTGTTCAGCTATCCAAAGCCCCAAGAGAGGAAAACCGCCAGAGGCAAGGAAGCACCCTTGAATACATGTACCGATTGCGTTGCATTCAGATGTTATATGTATTGTTCATGACAGCCTCTCTGAACAATCTGCGGAAAAGATAAAGCCGCGAGGCTCTTCATGCACGATGTAGAGATATATGTAGTGGTGACAATGGTCAACAGAAGCCATTGGGTAGACACATTGAGCTATCATGCTCGTAGAGTCCGGTAGGCACTGGAGTCGAGCTGCTGCCATAGACACGTCGGCACTAAGCCAGACCAGAAAAGGGAATCAGCCTCTTGCAATCCTGGAATTGCTCCAGGATGTATCGTGCGTTTCAACTGATCCTAGAGTTACACTGTACCTTACGAGGTTATCACCGAGTTAGCGACTGACGTTGGGTGTTTATGAGTTGGTTGGTTGATCGAATTGGTGTAAGCAGGCTGCCGGGGGTGTTTTCTAAGCCAAGCTAATTTTCGATAACAATAGGATTGATCCGAATTTTATGAGTGTTAGACTGCAACAGTGCCGGATGAGGTTTAAAGTCATGGCTCAGTGACATCGTTAACTAGAAAAACATAGGTAGATTATTATCTACACGAGTTAATGCGTGGTTACAGATATGTATTACATATTTTCTAAATGAATTAAGCGGTTTATTTAGATGTAGGTATGTATTCTAAGAGACCAATACTCTTGAAGCTATCTAAGAACCCGAAGTCACCCTTTTTGAGTCGTGTATAAGCGGGGAGTAGTGAATCTGAAGAAGCTGTGGTCTACCGCGATGGTGTTCTGGCCGCATCCGTCAGGTTTGGTTGTCACTGACATGGATTTGAGATAATTGTTGACCATTTTTACCTGACAACCCTGCTGAAGGGACTTTGGGGTCGTCGAGCTTCAAAAATCGCTTCTTGTCCTCTGCCTCACCCTCGGCAGTCCACCCCAACCGAGGTTGGCCATCCTTGATATCGAACGTGACGTGATATAGGGCATTGTCATCCGGTTCAGGTTCATTGGCGTCTTCCTTGTGATTTTGGACTTGGAGTTTACTTCGTACCCAAGTCGTGAGAAAATCGCAATCGGTAGTTTTTAATGTATTATCGTGTAGCTTGAGGTAGCACACTTTGCGCTCTGGGGTTTTCGTATTGAGGTTCTTGTGGTCCTCTAGCATCAGGCCGGGTTGCCCGGTCTTCCGACCCCATGGTTTGATGATGACCCATCGGGTCCCCTCATAGGAATATACCCCATAGAACTTTTCAAGATCGAGTTCTTTGCGTTCAGAACTTTGAGGCATTATTCTGGTCTTGGTCGCGTCAGAGATTTTAGCAGCGGATTGGGTTGATTGCGTGAATGTTGGATGTATTAATGGTTAGGACTTGCGGTCGGTTTTCTTGGATGGTGAATACTCGCTGGACAGACGGCTATCCCAAGGCTTTTATGTAGAAAAGACACTCGTATGCCCTATTTTTCAGTAGCTAGACTTCTCAAACGGCATCTTGGATGTGCCGAAAAGATGACTATTGGTGGCGGCAAACCCTTTCCTCATGTCAAAGGATTTGTTTGCTGGAGAAGGCGTGTGGCACTCCAATTCAGGAATACTTACCAAATGTTCAATTAGAGGAATGAATGCTTTTGAACATACAGGACAAAGACTGAATAATGATGAGGAATTAGGCTAATGCTAACCGCCCTCGCGAAGGATCGCCAGATGAAGCACTGCTGCATCCGTACTCAAGGCGACGACCCATGTGACCCATATGTTGTCCAAATCCTTGAATAGCTGCGGAGGTAAGTTCCGTGGCGTCAAAAGCTTGACTTGGAAATTTCATTTCATGAAATTGCCGGGATTTTAGTTTTATCCGCAATGGATAGGTTCACCGGCCAGAAGTCTCAAAGAGAGGGGAAGTTGCCGCTGTCATTAAGAGAGATCCTCCATTGATCAGTCGCATCATCACCTGAGGTGTCCCAATGGTGATTTATTCAGTAGTATTATAGAACAAATTGATAAGAAAGGTATGCTATGGGGTTATTTGTAAGTTAGAGATGACGAGGGCCGTTCGAAGCTGAGGGGGGTGGGAAGATTCACCTGCCGTTCCTGCTCGCAGGGCTCAATAGAAGCGGTATCTGGACCGTTACCAAAGAGGCGCAGTGCCATTGGCATTTCAATGAGACTGTTTCCTGAAAGACTCTGAGAAGCGTGACGGTGAAAGTTGACCATGTTGCGGGGGTTCGTCCGTCTCCCGCATATCTTGCAGCTTGTTACGGTGCCACCACAGACCACCTCCTACCGACCACCACAACAACACTCGAACAAGACCTCCAACTTCTCAACGAAGAAGCAGTCGCCGACATAAGTGGCATGAGCTTCGTCTTCCGGCTGAAAAAGGGCCATGGAGGGGCAGAGGGCTCTGTTGGACACCCTCATCTCGCATCATGATCGACCTCACCACCCCAAGCGGCTGTACATGACCACACCCAATAGAAGATTCGGGGCCCTGATCTCCCATATATAAGTCTACAAGATCCAAACAAGTCATTATGTTCGCTTCGGCCGATGAAACTCTGGTGTTGTAGGTTTTCTAGTGTTGCTCCTGATGCAGGATCTTAGGGCGACCATTTCCGTTCCCGATCCTGCTGCCCTTCTCCATGGTGGAAAACACGCCATGAAGAAAAGCTGATCCAGACCAGAATAGAAAATGCATTATAGTCTGATGTTAACTTTTGCTAGGACAAGCGGTTCGATGCCCGCAGGTGAGTTTGTGACTGACTGACGATAGGTTCTAAGACTGCCCTACAGTTCTTTGGGTCGTGAGAAAGACGGATTGGAAGTTGGACCCGACGTCAGCTTGTCTGACGGCGCGCATACCCCGCATAAGTGGGGACCGGAACGGGGGGATAGCACCTACGGCCCGGACTCCGGCGAGACGGGCTTGCACGTCCCCAGCCAGTTTGAAAAGTAACGCAACGGCTTTGGTGAGCCTGGATCGAGTATCTGCTCGTCCGAGGACTGGCCGGTCGCGGGCCTGGAGCCGCCAGCTTCTCTAAGACGCCCACAAGATGAAGTCAGCGGATGTTGTAACCTGGGTTGTAAAAGACCACCTAGTGGCTTCTGACTGCTATTGCAACACGAGTCCAAGTGACTCTTTACAACGCTAATCCCCCCGTGAGACAAAGAGATCCTATTATCACTACTTACGGCCGTATTTTCGAAATCGTTTCAAGCGCCAAACGGATCAGTTGCAAGAGTTCATTTAACACCTCCTAGTACTGAGAATAGGGTTTAAAAATCGTGGCGCAAACCACCCCAACATCTTTTTACCTTAGACCATTTTCTACCAGATAGCTTATTGATCTGAGATAGTCTAGTCACCAGAACCTAGAAACAATGCTATCATAAAGCTGTAATCCCAATGGTCTTTGAATGAGAAAACTTAGAAAGGGTCACACCTCCTCGGCATCGGCTGTTAAGTAATGGAATTAGCCGCACCTGCGTCTACCTGCAGGGCTTGCAACCAATACCAACTAGCAGCATCCTCTAATATGGCTTCGGCATCTCGTCCATTCGGCCCTGTCGGGCAGACTTCTAGCATTCATTGCCTAATTGCTTGAATGTCATCGTATTCGCCTTGCCGGCCGAAGATACAGCTCATGGCCATACAGATCACCGTAGCGGTGGCGTACGCATAGCAGGTGAGCTCCTCTCCCTGATCAAGTACTCTGACATCCGCGAATGTGACTACGTAAAACACTTGATTGATTATTAAGTTAATACGTTTGGCCCTATTATACGCTACGGTGTACCCTATTGACTGAAGCCTCATTCAAAGAGATGTGCAGTCCTACCTAATCACCTAAAGAGCGAGGTACTAAAATAGGTAACCGATCCTAGTAATCGGGCAATGGCTGAACTCGTGCTCCGCATCCGGACCTAGGAGGGATAATTCAGGTGCGCATAGCTAACGTAAGATAACTCACATAAGTAGAAACCACCCGATGAAATTATTTACGTAAATAAAGCTAATTATAGCTTTTGGTTTTCATTTTGGAAAACAGGACATATTCATGTTTTTCACCCTAACAAAACTATGGAAATCTCTAAAAAGTGAGAATACTTCTTAAAGCTTATAAACGAGCTTAGTAGCCGAAACCTTTCCTTCTCTGTACTCCTGGAATCCTTTCGTTACGCCATCTAGGCCACCAGGAATGACCTTGGGTCTGGCGGGCCTGATCTTGTTATCTTCAACCCAGCCGGGAAGCTTCTCGAAGAACTCTGTTCCGAGCTTGTGATCCTCCTCATTTGCCTAATTATAGTCAGTGATATTACCTAAGTAGCGGAAGCAAAAATGCCACGGATAACTTACGGGCCAATGGAACTTCCCATAACGGTGATCTTTCAGGAAGGCAGTGAAGACAAGCACATCAGTCACCTTGATCTGCTTAGGGACTTCGTTGGTGTTTGCCTTCCCAGGCCTTACAGTACATAGACCGCCGCCCTTCTCGTTGATGGCTTGCGAGGCCAGACCGGATGAGGACTCATTTCCGATTGTATCAAAGACATACTCCACACCCGGTGCTGACTGCTTGATCGAGTCTATAACGTCATCGTCGTGATAGTCAAATACATGACGGGCACCTAGATGCTTCACCAAATCGAAGTGATTGGCACTACAAGTAGTAATCACCTTGAAGCCGTGCAAAGCTGCGATCTGAATGGCGTAGAGGCCGACGATTGCTACAACATTAGTTAGTCCGAGTGACAGCAGGCGAATTCCGAGATGACCTACAGCTTCCACCCCAGATCAGAACTGGCGTGTCATGTCCGCTGTCTCTAGGAATGGCCAGGCAACCTTTAGAGAAAAGGGCGAGCCAAGCCGTCATCGACGCTAGGGGCAGTGTAACTGCCTCTTCTAAGGTAATGTTCTTGGGAACACGGAAGCTAATGTTGTTATCTGCCACGGTGTACTCGCTGTAGCCCCCAACACCTCTGACCTCGCCTGTAATGGATACAATGTCAGCTGAACTCCGACCGCAGGATTAACTCAGGCCTACCACCCCAGACGAAGCCGGCTACCAGATCTCCTCTGTTGAGTTTGTGCGCCTGATCGCCAGTTTCCTCAACGGTGCCGACGAAATCACAGCCAAGAATTGCGCCTTCGCCGAACGCGTTTCTGTCCAGGGCTTGGACTATAGTTCTTGTCAGTATATAAAGAAAAGTACCCTAACCGAGATCTGGGATATCTCACTGTCTGTTGGGTTCTGGGCGACGTGTGAAACTTTCACTAAGGCCTGATTGGATGCCGGTTGGGGCACATGAATCGTCTTCTTGACGATATCTGGCAATCCTGTACTCAGGACTTCAGTAACCAGAGCCTGACACTGTTTTGTGGCCATTGTAGTTTACAATAAAAAGAACTACTTCTGATGTGTCCTGCTGAAAAGAGATAGTATGACGGACCTGAGCAGAGTAACAGTAAAGTAGGTGATGGTAATTGGTTTATATATACCAATGCTTCGATGTACGTCGACTATTTGCTTCGTCAGAAACACGTCATGGAGGCTAGATCTTTTGACAGCTTTGTGCCGTGGAGTTGATGTTTGATTATCAATCGGCTTTGGCCGGCTCCGTCCTTCGTTGAGGGCCGGAACCTGACAAAATGGGTCTCGCGCCCCAAAATGTAGGATCTCGATGCCCGAGTGCCTGGGCCCGATTTGCCTGGGCCCGATGACGAGCTCGTGCGACTGCTGCGGTAGCAGTAAGGAAGCCCAGCTCTGGTAGGCACTGAGTAAAAGCTTGAGCAATAACGATTCCGTCATCATCACTGCCTATTCTGCACTATATAACAACGCCGGCCAGCACACCAACTGGCTGGGCCGTAATATCAACACGCAAGCTGGTAGAAGCAGGAGGCATCGAGCCGATACACATGCAGGACTCCCTGACATGCTTCTCTGAAATAGCCTGACCACGGGCTGCCCTTTATCCCCTTTAACCGCTTTAACAGAGCATGGAGACTTTCAGCGGTAACACTTACTACTATCTCAGCCCTCGATGGCCTCACAGCCACCTGAGGGCTCCCCTACTGCCTATGATGAGCTATCTACCGCAGTCCATAATCCTACCCCTATTCCCTACAATTCATATTAGGGCCCGCGCACCTCGGCTACTGCATACAAATTTGGCAGGGACTCTGAAACTTGGAGGATACTGATTCAATTTCAGCCGCTTGCAACTGCTTTAGTTACCTGTGAGATGGCCCTTGTTTCAGCAGGCCGCCCTCTCCTGACACATCTAGCATCAAGTCGCAGAGAAAACCAGTACTGCCTATGGCAAGCCAGCGGGACCTCAACATAGCATGAACACATAGTGGCCATCGGGCATGATTTGGAGAACAATTTGAACTGTATTTAGTAGTAGATACAGGGATATGGCTCTCGACACCACATACCCTTCGGGGGGTGTGCCGCCATGGCGTTGAAAATTACAACCACAACAACTACAATAATAATACCTTTGGCTATCGAAAGTTAGGTTTGCGGCAAATCGACGGAAGAAGGAGGCGGCCAGACGACACAGCTATGCTCAACGCGGCAGTACAACCGGTAATCCATGCTCCAATCACTTGGGTGGCTCATGTGCCTGGTGGTCTGGCAACGGGCGACTGGTGACGAGAATATCTGGGCCTCCCGGCTTATAAATGGCTTTGCCACTGTTGCGCTTGTATTGACTTAGTCTTGTCTATGGATCAAAACTGCCTGAGAACATGGCGGTGAGCCCTGTTCCGGTACAAGCTCAGTTTGGTTGAGCAGTCTCTAAGCCGCAAAGTCAATGACGGATTACCAATCTAAAGGTAGATGATTACCGAGCGAAAACAGGTTGAGGATTTTGAGTGTCGGGAGTTGAAGTAATTCTTAGCCCCACTAACTACGAAACCAGTACCCATTACCCGATGGATTGAATTGCCTTGGCAGTCAGCGGTCAATAAGGATACAGGTTAAGTGGGCAGTGTGTCCCTCACCTGGAAGGTATATTAATTGCACCTTTTCACTTGTTGAGATATCAAATCTGGCTCATGTTTTACTTTAACCAGCCAGTCATACAGTTTTCAAAAGACAACGTGCAAGATGGCAACCGAAATCCACGTCGTCTCCAAAAAGGATCTCACCAAACATAAGACTGTTCCAGCCAGTGTGTCTCTTCCGCCATTATCAGCCTCCTCTATCCGAGCCCGCTCATCGCTCGTCGCATTGACCTCAAACAACCTCTCATACGCTAAACTGGGAAACCACCTGCACTGGTGGTCTGCCTGGCCCGTCCCTGCCGATGCCTCGGCCCCGTATAATAACAAGGCTGATTGGGGCATCGTCCCAGCCTGGGGCTTTGGGAGGGTACTCGAGTCCAACTTCGACTCTATCCCTTCTGGCAGCCTCCTCTACGGCTTCTGGCCAACCTCATCTCACCCAGTTGACCTAACGCTGGAAACCAGCGACCCCGAAACTCACTTCCGTGAGGTAAGCGATCACAGGCGAGAGCTCGGTAGTATGTATAATCGTTACAGCCTCGTGGATGAGATGGTACGACCAGAGGACTCTTGGGCGCTTTTCGCCAACGCCTACTCCATCTGGAACGCCGGTTACGTGCTCAATCGCTTCTGCTTCCCTACGGAGTATAAGCCAGCACACCCGTTCGGGCAGCACGGCGGAGAGTGGACGGATGAAGACGCGGAACTCAGCGCCGCTGTGCTTGTGAACCTCTCGGCATCGAGCAGGACCGGGAGGAGCGCCACCTGGAACTTCACGCGGAACCGCAAACCGGGTGTCAATGGCCCGCTCGCATTTCTGAGCGCGACGTCTTCTCCAAAAGCTCTGGAGCCTGCGCCACAAGCCGCGTTCGAGGTCGAATGCGTCAGCTACGACGACCTGGCCGCCGGAAAGACGGTTGAGTGGATCAGAAAGTTCAAGCCTAAGCGCATCGTGGTTTTGGATAACGGCGCTCCTGTAGCCATTACTGAGCAGTTTCGCGAGGTACTCAAAGCAGCGCTGCCCGAGGCGCAAGTAAGTCTGGTCTTGATCGGAGTTGAACCGAAGATGGGGACTACCGATGAGCTGGTGGCTCTCCTAGGGTCTAAACGGAAGTCCGGCGGTACCGTTGAGCTCGACTCGACCTCCGTTATAGATATCGGGGTCGCTACAGAGGGCGGGGACAAGTTCTTTGAGGAGAACGAAAAGGCTTTTAACAGGGCGGTCGAAGAGAATTATCTCGGGGACATGGAGCTGGTTCAGGGTAGTGGAGTTTCTGGATCCGAGGGAGTCCAGGGGGGTGGGAGAATATTATCAAGGGGACATTGGCGCCCCAAAAGGCCTGGGTGTACCAATTGGACGGGGGTTCACAGTAGTTTCCTAAGGGCAACTTTTAGTTCTAGAATTAAGGTACATATCTCTTCCTGGCGCCCATCAAGTCTTTCTTGTGGTCTAGCTTTTGTTTGATCCGTCCCTAGTTCCCGCTAGTGATCTACTTCCGTTAGGCGTATTTCAACCCCTAGTAGGGATGCCTCTGCATAAGAGGGGTGGACTATAACTTACTGCCCTATACCACGAGCAGATCTTTTAGAAAAAGTTCGTGACGCGGAAGAAGGCCTAGGAGCCTTAAGAAGTAGACTAAGTAGACTACTGCTCTTGTCGACTACTGCTCTTGTCTCTCTAGGAGCGGGTAAGCTGGGCTTCTGGGTGGTTGAAGCGTAGATGACACGGTTGAAAGACTCTATGGCCTGGGCGGGCTGCTAGGAGGTGATGAAGCGTGGTCCTCCACAGTACTGATTCAGGGGAGTGGATGAGAGTAATCTCAAGTCCTAGTGTTGGTTATCACGCCCAACGGGCCGTAACAGAACTCTCCCAGATCTACATTGTCAAATTTAAGGCCTGCAGAGCCCACTATCAGAGCAAGTAGGCTGCCATCAAAGCTAAGAATGGTCCAGAGAGTGGGAAGGGAAATGGAAGGGAGGATCAGAAACCACATGAGTAAGTTTCACTACTCGTTCATGCCACTGCTTTGCTCACACACGGATTGGGGATTGCGTGCATCATCTTTTCACATAGTTATAGCTGATATACATTACTATGAACTCTTCGCCCCAACGAACTCAATGAGCCATCATGCCTCTTCAGTCGAAATGTCTTTAGTGAAGTAGCGCGCTTCCAGCCGTCAGGTTCAGGCCAATGGTTAGGTTGCCTAAAACCGAGCTACCGAGCCAGTTCCCAATGTACGAGTTCACATCCTCGGGCTTCTCCCGCATCACCCAGTGACCGCCGTCCACCTCACGACGGGTAAGGCTGTCGAAGTACATGTCCATTCCCTCCGACAGCTCAGGAGGCAACGCCGGATCCTGTAAGCCACCGACAAACAGCGCGGGCTGCGGGAACTTGGCCGTAAACGTGCCATTGGTCGGCAAGAGCGCCAATTCGTCATTCCAATTAGGCTCGCCGATGCGGTACCAGTTGAGCGTTCTGTTGAACGGGTCGCTAACGAAATTCTCGACGTAGTAGGCCATTTCCTGAGGGGTCAAGAACGGCGAGTCATCCGTCACTTCGTCGAGGAGCTCAAACGCCAGCCCTTCACCGGTCGTGTTCAGTGCTGACCCGCCGCCGGGAAGCGTAACACCGTAAGCAGTATTAAGGATTTGGCGTACGCGCGTGGCGTTCTGCGCGTAAGGCAAACCAATGTAATCCTGAACGATATCGGTACGGAGTTGTAGCTGATAACGTAGCGAGGGTAACGTAGCGGCATCGTCGACGTACGCAATGCGTGGCGGCGTGAAGGGCGTACTAATAACGAAAAATGCAGAGATTAGCTCGGGGTGCCAAAGAGCAGCACGGTAAGCAACAGCACCGCCCCAGTCGTGTCCGCCGAGGACGATGCGTGAGAGGCCGAGGTGGCTGGCAAGGGCGGCGACATCGTCTGAAGCGCGCTTGTAGGTGCTGGACAGAAACAGTAAGTATCACTAATTTAAAACGCGGCGGGTCCTAGGTTCCTGAACTCACTAAAACTTGACGTCTTCCGGGGCATCTGTGCCGCCATAGCCCATCATGTCAGGAGCGACAACTCGGAGGCCCTTCGAGAGAAGGAGGGGAATCTGGTTGCGCCACCCCAGGGACATATCAGGCCATCCATGGAGGAGGAAGATCGTGCCGACGACGTTTCCCGAGGCCGGCTCTGCGACAAGGTAGTTGTACTTGACGCCGTTCAACGTGGCGGTCTGGTACTTGACCCGGGGCTCTTTATGAGTTACAACAGGCATTGTGGCGAACTCGGAAATCGTATGGTTGCAAATACAGATGGTGGTGACTCCGGTGTCTGGCGTAATCAAAACGATCCCATATCCTCAACGGCCGAGGGATTTCCGTTCACTATATACAAAAATCATCAGGCAAGCCACTCAGGTTCCTTGGTTGACACCTTTTCACATTGGGCCATGAAGCTTGGCATAACGAAAACATCGTGCCTCTGTAGCACGAAATCTGGATAGAAAGCCCGTTTCCTTTGAGATTACCAATACGATGCGCTTTCCGTGGGGATACTTATGGAGTGACATGGAGTGACATGGAAAGAAAGTTTCCACGGAATACCGAGCAACAGCTAGGAACAGCGGCAACCGGGCGAAGACAGTCCGGGGCAAGATTGATTGATAAGTTGTAGCTGGGCCTCTAACAGGCGTCAATTCAGCATACTGAGTAAGGTAGTAAGGTAGGGGTAGGTTTGATGCTCCTGACCTGGGCCGGGAGAGACAACGTCAATACCAAGCTCGTCTTCGCACATCAGACAAGGCGCGTGAAGAACACGAACATTCTTTGGGAGGTGCGGCTACTGCCTCCATGCCTTACTCAACCAACTATCTCCTCTAAGTCGTCACCGCCTGCAAGGTGCCTCGTCAAACTCATCGAATGACTAGCCTTATGCAACCTGAAAAGACATTGATCGGCGAAATGGGTAGATGCAAATGTCCATCAACGCACTGCAATTTGCTCAAACGGAAACGATTTGCGCCGTCAACTTTGTCCCGACGATAGACCATAACCAATGCCTGTTGTAACTATTTACTTGCCTGGTTTTAGCCTTTGGATATACATTCCTAATATGGAAGGTTTTCCCCCGCTTGAAGCAGGGTTCATGCTGTCGTTCCTCAGGCTTAGGGTTTGGGGTGGCACTTGATTGGTTTAAGGCTTAAACTCGACTTTGCTACCGGTACTACATCGCAGTCCTATACCCGCGCAAATGATTCAAACCCACATGATTACCAATGAACTGATTTTTAGTAATTATCTCTACAGGTCAGGGCCTACCATGCCTTCTGGGCCTTCCGGGTGTGGGCCGGAAGGGCAGGGCGGAGCCGGGGAGGGCCCACCCAGGCTTATGTGGGCTTTCGTAGCCGGGCTTACAGTTCCACTTACCACCCAGCACACACTTGTTCTGATCTCAGAACACGCCAACTATACCACAAAGCTTGCTCCGTCGTGAAAGACCATTAGTGGTTCCTCCGCGGTCATCTGTTTGAACTCACTCTCTCGAAGGCATTTAAAGTAAGCGCTTTCGGTGACCCTGCCTTAATCGTTACTACGGAAGAAAGTCGGAGTGTAGGCGGACTGCTAGTCCGCCTCGGAGGATTAGGTGCTTCACTCTACCTGGCTCTAATGGTCTTACCACTTGGCATGCCATCCTTCCCTATTGTGTTTATTTGCAATTCTGAATTAGCTGACGACTTCACCGACTGGGAAGGTTGAGCAGTTCAGACTGTCCATTGGACTGCGTTGAATGTTGCCAGTAGTCCATCCAACCGCCAGAGGGTCGAACACGATAGTGGGGCGCTCCAACGCAAGTAAGCATTTGATCTCGGATAATAAGGTGCTTTACCCGGGCGAAGACAAAGACAATTACATATCACGTTGGAAATTATTAGTTCAATAGTCAATTCACAAACTTAGGTGCCATTACATATCCCTGAGCTTCATGCTAAAAGAAAAACCCAAGAGCATTGCTGAGTTGATAGGAATTTCGCCTACTAGAACAAGAAATGCCCATGATTCAGGGAAGAAAGACCTGGGTAGCACGCCTGGATCTATCCGCCATCCATCGCCCTCACTCATCTCCCTCCGAATCAAAACATTGCGATGGGGTTGGTCGCGTTTGCGGGCCGTTGCTGTGCCACGTCCCAATGTTCCACGATGCAAGTGCCGTCGAATCTAAAGACATCAACGACAGCCGAAGGCTGTCCACCTCCGACAAGATCCATTCGGTAATGGATATAAGCGATACTGTTGTCCAAGCCCTTGTTCATGATCGTGTAGTTGACGTTATTTGGGGACAGGAATGGGCCAAGAACGTCGAGAGAGTTCTGTCGGCCGGAGAGTATGTCCGGGTTGTGCTGGATGTAATCCTCCGCAACGTGATTGAGTAAAGCTTTCGTGCCATTTCTATCTTTGTAAAAGGCTTGGATGAATTCTCCGAGGATCCCCCTCTGTTCCTCTGGACTTGCTGAGCGAGGTGGACAATAGGGCGCTGACGATTCCTGGCACGGCAGAAGGCCTGAGGCGCTTGTAGGCCAGGCAAGGCCGATGGCGAGTAGTGTGGAAGCGAGCATGTCGTCTAAGTTGAATGATTGAACGCGTGTGACTTTGATGTAGAAGTGAGCCTGAACTTGCGTATTCTGCGGCAGAGGAGGGTTGAACGAGGATGCAGCACTGTTTACTTATATGCTGAGACTGATGATACGGAGATCAGTTACCAAACTCCATGTAAGAAAACCAAAGCTTATCAAAAAAAAAGAAAAAACAGCTCACTCAGGAAACAACAATTCATACGTGTTTATCCAAACTGCGCCACGTGCCGCGATGCCAAGAAAGCCTATTGCTATAGACCCTTACCTAACATGTCATATATGTTGTCTACTACTGGTAAAGAACAGTGCTGCTTATAGAATCATGCATTCATAATGCCGTGACTTGTACCTACAAGTGTGACTATGTTCACCGGAACCAATTTGATACCCGCTCAGTGCCCTTTGTAAGCAACAGAATGAGTAGTGTTAAGGGTAGCACAAGACAGCGTGTCGACCTGATGGCTGTCCGTGGAGAATGGGCTCCACCTCTGAGCCCGTGTGTTCCGTTTGAGTGACGTCGCTCAGTAGTGTGCCGATGAGCTGAGCAACATGGTCAGGGAATCCTATGCCCTCAAATTCCCATCTTCCAGACTTTTTAATTACTCTAGTCTTCGACATCGTAGTGCATCGAGATGTGATCAACCACGTTCCACCGTTGGCCATACGTACTCGAGCTTGGTAGCTTTGTACGTGACCGAAGAGTCCGGCGTCCGGCTAGATCTGGTGAGTTCAACTCGAGAATTGAAAATACCATGCGTTAGACCAAGACACACGGGACAGTGAGTTTGAATCATTTTGACATTGCGGATGTAGTTTTGGCCGGTCAGCAAGCAATAGATTAACAAATCTACTTGGAGTAGAGACCATCAAGTCAACAGGTAGTATGGGGGTGGTTGGGCTACACCTACATGTATTCATCAGACAGGCTATAGGCAACATTTCGTTGCGGCAACAAGGCGGGGGTAGAGGTGCATCATTAACTAGCCATGCAGTTCGCAGTCGATCAGGGACTTGATCGACGTGGATTTGAGGCAGCTGGCCAACTGTAGCTGGCTTTTGCAGCCAGATCGAGAATTTCTAGCCTGCCGAGAGTTAGTACCCTCGATCTCGCCGCTCGATCTAATGATCGCGGGAGTTCTGGTCGATCGATTGGTAGCAAGGCGGAATTATGACAAGAAACCCATCGACGCCCGCCAGCGCGAAGCGTGGTGCAGAGGCAGTCAACATGTAGATAAACAACTGATCACATAGCTCATTCAGAAAGACGAAAGAATCCAATAAGTACCAATAATGACCAAGGTGGAGTCATCAAACATAGCATCCATGATAGTAGTTTTTCATCCGAATCCATAGAACCACCTAGTGATCAACACTACGCTAGTCCGAATCCATGTCCCTACCAGGAGACAACTTCCAAATCACAGGTAAGGTACACACGGGTGAAGTGTATTCTCACTATCCGGTCTTTCCTCTTTGCTTCGATATTGCAGGAGAACCCACTACTTGCCAATCTAGATTCGTCTCTGGTCGGGAACTAGTGGATTTCGATCTTCCCCAAGCAAAATCTACAAATAAGAACAGTTTTGATCTTCCATAAGTACGGCTGCTAGAGAGCCCATTTAGCATGTTTAGACGCAAGATCTAATAGTTTTGCCACGCAGAGATGACAGTTACATACTGGTTTCGAGGCTAAGACAGCAAGGGTCATGGCTAAGGGCCTTGACGGAGCCACAACTGTCAAAGAGAATTGAAGTGAAGATAGGCGCACTGCAGTAATGCTGGTTCTTAATCTTTTGATGATAATCGACCTCCCTGCTTGTCAATATATACTCTGCTTTCTTCTACCTGGGCTGTAAAGTGTCCAAAAGAAAACCCGACTCGAGTTTCCGGGAGCAGCCCTAAAAGTCGTTTGCCACTATTGGTACTAGCTATCACCCGGTTTCAATACCCGTAAAGAGCACTTGCCATATAAGGGTCCTTCATTGGGATCGCTGCGTTAGATGCATGGAGTGTTCGAACTAGACACTGCTTCAACGGCGACATGACGGTCCCGACGTTGTGTGGTAGGAGATTTATTGCCTCAAACATCCAAGTAAATTTACGGAACACAATTGCAGGATTAAGACAAGTGAACGGTATTTGGTGCTATTGACTTAGACTTATCTTCTATGAAGACCTATAATAAGCCTTACTTTTGTATTATGAAGAGACATAGACATTAATGTGGCTTTTCAATCTATGTTGGCATACTAAGGACCAATAGCCTTCAGGTGACTCGGCACATTATATCTCGTAAGTATCCAACCCGAAGTAAGAGTGCCGGGATCACTTACTGCGTGGTATATCCCAACTTGGCATATACAGGTTATCTTTTATTGTTCAATAATAATAATAACATATATTAACTTTATAATACCAAGTACTCATCGACTAGCTTTATAAGGGCCGGGCTAGTAGTTAGGTCAGTGACGACTAGCAAATACCTAGTGTTATATGTGTTTCATACTTGTTCATAAAGCTATCGTCGTTTTGTTACGATTAGTGACGATGGGTGACTTGGGCGTAATCGGTGGTATTCGGTGATGGCTAGCGTTGTAATTTTGCTTCTCCAACTAATCTGGTTCACTAACTGTCATGCTAGCGCCGGCCCGGGTTGAATTAAATGCAAGATCCATCAGGCCGTGAAGGGGTATGAGCTTGCCCGAGGAATGGCATCGAACAGTAAAGTTTCAAATGGAACAGTCTCTCATAGCGTCATGAATCTATCTCACACCAAGGAATATCCGGCATGGCTAAACCACAATTCATACAGCCATAATAATGGCTAGTTTGTCTTCTTCTCCTCGTCCTTGGGCACACACGTCTGCCAAGATTTGTCACCCATAATGCCATCAATCCTGTTCAGCTTGGCCACCACGTCCGCACGGTCTGTGAGGTGCCTCTTGACATGGACCGTGGTTTGGCAGAGAATAACTAAGGAAGACCTGTATCAGAACACAAAACCAGACAAGAGAAGTGGAAGCATTATGACTTACTCGCAGGCACCACGACCCAAGGGGCATTGAACCCAATGTAGTAGACCCAGAAGTACAAGAACTCGGGTCTGCTGTGCGACACTCCGTTGGAATAAAACTCGATCAAGCTGGTTGAGTAGTAGAGCACGACTCCGTATAGATGTCCGACACTCATGATGATCTGAAAGGGGTAACGCAATTGACTCCGCTTGGCAGTAGTGATGACGATGGCCCAGCAGAGGGGACCCCACACAAACTAGAATCTCGATGAGTACTGGGCTCTTTCGCAATGCTAAGACACAGCCCAACTTACTACCGTGAAAGACTCAACACAGAGCATGAATGGATCGGAGGTCAGGTAGCGAGAGTCGGAGAGCGCATACTCCTTCCATAGCTGGCCGAAGAGACTTTGGTCGCTCGCGAGGCGTCTGTGGTTCAGGATGAAGTATCCTGTAGAAACATTAGACTTGGACTAGAAGGAATCGAATTCTTAGGGACACACCTTCGAAGAAACAGTGAAGGAACCCGCCTGGGTAGATGAAACGGTTAGCCAGAGTTGGACGACCGATGTTCTGAACACCACTCACAAAGAGCAAACCAAACCACGGTAAGCTGGTCCGAGGCTGTCAGCTGAGGATAGGCGTTTCTAGCACCCACGACGGCAGTGAACACGACGGAAGATATTATGCTCCCGAAGAATACGAGCAGGCCAAGGACGGAGTTCTTGTTGGCAACGTAGTGCGGTAGCGCAGCGGTGACTGGGTAGTAAGGATGCGCAAAGGTGGCGCCAGGGTCTGTCGAGTTATCCATGTTGAGTAGGCGTTCAGTGCGATTGTCTCAGGAACTTCTGCGTGCGTAGAGTAAACCGTTACTTCGAGTGGTACCGGAGTTCCGTTGTCTTGTTTGCGGGTTGGTTGAAATTGGGGTTGGGTTCCCCGTTCTTGAAGATCGCGAGCAGATGTGCCTGCCGAACTAGGGTCGAAGTTGCCTGATTAATACTAGACACACCTTCCACTAAGCATCGGGCGACAAATACTGGCGTCTGGATATTTCTCGATATGAAGAGGATGCCAAATTGAAGTCGGGAAGGAATACTCGGGTTGTAGCCCGATTCTGTCTATTTCTTCGTGCAGAGGCAGGCACCACTGGGTTCAATCAGGTACCTAAGATGCACGGATCCCTTGCATCACTAGCACCTGCAAGTACCTTGAGAATCTAGCGGTTCCTGATGGCCTTCTTTCTGGCTCTTGTTAGAGTATACCAGTGCCACAGTGCAGAGAAATTGGAAAGCTGGAATCAGCTTCATCAATGCTCTCGAAATGGGATGACTCTGAAGTGGAAGTGGCCGCACTGCCCCACCATGGTAGCTTGTCGTGTCCGAATAAGGAAACCGGACCGCTGATCTTCCGCTGCTCGGGGGCTGCGCGCTGCAGACAGTCGCTCCTTACCGCCAAGTATTCAACTTCATGACAAGTGTATCCGTACTCGCATCCTCCCAAACGACTTCATTCCTGCCCCAGAAAACGCCTCACTGACTCGCCTCAACACCTATTTCGAGTCGGACCTTCAACCGCTCATTTCACCCAGACTAGATACTCAACATGGGTGACGTTCCAGTTGAGGAGGCACCTTTCCCGCTCACAGACGTTGACAAGTGGGTCCTCTCACAGACAGATGAGGAGTTTAAGAAACATGGCTGGGAAGAGCTCAAAGAGATCATTGGTAAGCGCATTTGCCTTGTGTCTTTATGGAACTTAAGTTGCAAAAGCCTAATCAGATACCAGAGACAAATAAGCTCGAGGTTTTAAAGCGAAAGCCGTCAGACCTTCGTCGATACATGAAATGGACAGCCGAGACCAAGGCTGAGTACGGCTCCATGACCAGATTCCTTCTCACCAACCGCCTGCCCAAGCCCTGGGGTGAGCCGCCATTCACCCCCAAGTCCATCGTGCCTTTTGAGGATCCTTCCGACTACCGGGTTCTCGTGAACGACTGGCCGTATGGACTTGACCCGGGCATCACCCATGTCGTGGTCTGGTCGCGTACCATCATCCCTACTGACCCTGACACTGGGGACATGACAGTAGAAAGCAGACGCACTGTGCAAGATTTCGTTGACAGATACTTTGTCAAAACTCTTGGTGATGTCGGAGAAGACAGGGTTGTCTGGTTCAAGAATTGGGTGGCCCTTCAGAGCGTCCGGGCCTTGGAGCACATCCACGTGCTGGTGCGAAACGTCGACCCAGAAGTCATCAGGAAGTGGTCTGAGGAGCAATCCTGGCACAGATAAGGCCTCGTCGCCGCAATCTCGACGGAAGACAATAGACATTTTTTTTTGGCTCGTAGCGCCGCGTCCTAGGCAATGCAGGATGTGCCTTTGACTATGCGGCTCGACGCTGTCTTCTGTTGGCGGGCGGGGCGGGCTCATCGCTGTTCGCAGCGCCCATCTGTGCCATGCGCTTGCCAGCTCCGAGCAAGCCGTATCCAGCGTATGCGCCGTAAGCGGGCACGGCGAGCCACAGGAACCAACCCCAGTTGCCGAACAAGATGACAATAACGACGGAGGCCCAAGTGACCCATACGACGTCGAACATATACTCGGTCAACCCGGCGGCGGCCAAGTCCTCGCCGGAGGTCTTGAGGCCTCCTCCGACGTCATACTTGGGACGTCCAGACTTCTCAAGAACGTATTCGCAGATCAAGGCCGGAGCGGAGAGCAGGATGAACCAGAAGAGAGACCGGGACTTGAAGATGAAGTAAAAGATGAGAAAGGCGACGTTGACAGCGGCTGAACCGATGTGGAGGTTGTTGAGGGTGGTGGCGTTGGATTTGGCCCTGTCCTTCTTTGCCTTTTGCGCCATGGTATAGGTTGCTGAGGGTTGTTTCGTGGGGAACGAACTTGGATGCAAGGTATGCCGATAGAAGGCCTCGAGAACGTGAGTGAGGTCAAGTTAATTAACTTAATGATGTCGGTCTTCAAAGGTGGGGGCCAACGTTCCTGTGAGTAAAAGACAGGTTGCGGCCTGGCTGGAATTGAGGCTGAAAGGATGGAAGGTGACGAAATTCCAGAGAAGCAATTGAGGCGGATGGCTGATGGTGTGGCTCAGGCGCGGCGGGACCCAATGGGACTAGCAGACGACGAGAAGTGGAGCCCCGGGAATGGAAGCGAACAGTGGCGGGTACATAGGCGGGTACATAGAATGTCTCTGGCGCAAAGGAAAGGAAGGCACGGGGGAGGCGTTGCGACTAATACGACTGCGACTGCAAGTTGCAATGGAACTGCCCTGTGGACGACCAGGTACATAGGCAGGTGGGGGGCTGGCGGCAGGGGAGGGGGGTTGGCAGGCGCTTCTTCCGGTCGGGTTGCTGGGCAAAGACGACGATGGTCGCTGAGGTACTCCGCATCGCATGAGCCAATCAGATTTGTAGTATCACCACACCAAGCGCGACCTAAGGAAGGAAACGCCGCAGTCAGGTCAACACACCATCGTCCAGACTTGGACAAGAGACGCTGACTGGACATGCGCAGTGAATGGCAAGCCGCAACATGCATGGCCTTGGATCTGGACCTAAAGTGACACTTTCACGACCATCTCTACCTTTCTCCCCTTCCCTCCTGCCATCCCACGCAGAGTGCACGGCTGATCTGGCCTGACGTCTGTTGATCTGACGAGCGACGGAGAATTCTCACTTCGCTGACTCTCAGTCTCGTCCGTCTCTCGCCTCCCGTCTGGCTGTTTCCTTCTGGACATCACCCCTCCACCTCCTTCCCTCCGTCCTATTCAGTTCTTCTTCACTCGTTCTCTGGGGAAGTCTTTTGCTGTGTCCATATCGCTGCATTGTCTTTGCGACCAACTTTGTTTTTCTTTTGGTATGCTCTGTTTAGTCAGTCAGATGGACCGCGAGTTTTGTCTTGTGTTGCTGCAAAGAGCCGATACTGCTGCACTTTGACTGAGTTCACTCGCTGCCTGTCGCCGAACCCAAACAACAATCCACGGGGACCCACCACGCAACGAACGCCTTCTTCGCTCCGACAGGCAACAATCCGCAAACTGCCCTGCCCATTGAACCATCTCTACGACCTTACGAACCTCGCCGTCGCCTTTTGCAGCACTTACCGATTCAATTCGACCTTGCACTCTTCGCCTCCCACTGCATTTAATTGTTAATCCTCAACCATCTGTCGACAGAAACGCGCTTCCAGCACCCTTGCTCCTCTCGGCCTCAGGCTCTACGCGAACGCCCACCTCGAAATTCACGGACGCAACTTTTTGCGCCTGCACACAATCCCATACCCAAGCTCGACAGAGCCCGACTAACGCTTCCCGACCAAAGCTGCACGTCCAGTGCATCGGGGCGCTACTGTGGACCGCGATTCCCAGCTTTCAAATTCGACAGTTGTTGCACCACCCGCGATATCTCATGGCCATAAACTGCCGTGGACGTTAACCCTCCTCCACCGAACCGCCCACCTCTTTTCACCTACCCACCGAGAATGGCGCCCACAAGTGCGGCCATAACAGGGCTGCTACGGCAGGTAGTCTACTACCATGTCGACAACAGTGCCTACGAGAATGCCCTCTTTTTCGCCGAGAGGCTAAGCGCCCAAGATCCCAAGTCGAGCGAGTCTGCACATCTCCTGGCTCTATGCCACCTTCGCCTTGGTGACCACCGAACCGCCTTCGAAGTCAGCAGGCCATCAGCTTCCCGTGGGACGAATCTGGGTGCCGCCTGGGTGTTTGCGCACGCATGCGTCAAAATGGAACGATACAAAGACGGCATCAATGCCCTAGAAAAAGCTCGGGAGAAGTGGATCGGCAAGACGAACATAGGCAAGCATACCACCTCGACTCGCTCGCTTTACCCAGATGAAGCTGCGGTTCTGTGTTTGCTAGGGAAGCTATACCGGGCGTATGATGACAAGCGGAGGGCAATCGAATGTTTCGAGACTGCAGTGAGAGTCAACCCTTTCATGTGGGATGCCTTTCAGGCCCTCAGCGACATGGGCGTTAAACTGCGCGTACCAAATATTTTCCAGGTCACCGATCCCCTCGTTCATTGTTTCGAACAGGATCAGGGAGTGTTGCCCCAGGAGCCTAAGGAGAGCTCGGCAAATTCATTCGAGCCCAAACGACCTCCGATTCGTTCAACGGCGGACTCATCTGACCCCTTTAACCTTCACCGATCCTCTACATATCAGGATCTGCCTTATAGCGCCAACGTCTTCTCCGCGGAAGCAGAGGAGAATGATTTCATGTCAAAAATCACAGCAGCAAGATCTAGGCTAGCCCCGCCATCCACGAGTAACGGTGAGCTCGATCTCATGGAGACACCTACCGGCCCAGTGTCCATGCCAGAGGTTCCTACTATGCGTTCAGCTTTCGGCGCTGCGGAGCCACCACAGGCGCCGCCGCGGAGGACAAGAACAGCCCAGGCCGTGGATCCCGGCTTTTTGGAAGTCCCACCGAAGATGAGTTACAAATTAGGTGCCAAAAGAAGCACCAGAAGCCAAGACAAGGATTCAGTCGAGCTGCATTCCGACACTGGGACCGGAACTATGCGGTCGACCATGGCACCCACGGAGCGGAAGAGGACGGTTTCGGGCCACCCGGTATCTAGGCAACACTCCGAAGAAGCCAACGCTCCTGCACAACGGAGAAGTGCCAGGCTTAACATGTTTAACAAACCCTCAATTGCCAAAGCGAATTCTGGCGCTGCTACCATCGGCGCCGCTGCAACTCGTGAGCTGAAGAAGGCTAGACCCCAGATTTCACGGATAATGCGACCTGGCTCTAGTGGCTCCAGTGTTGGTAGGGTCGTGAGCGGCAACCGCAAGCCGGTCGAAGACAGTGGTATGGATGTCGATCACGCCGAGACCACTCGTGTGAGAGAGCCTCATGCGGTCCAGCACGCCGTACCGAAAGCCGTCTCACACGAACTCGACAACGTCAGGATTGAGGAGGCCTTGAGATGGGTTATGGAGTTGCTCAAGAAATTTGCCTCTGGGTACTACTCACTCAAAGCTTTCCGGTGCCAGGAGGCCCTGCAATTCTACGCTTCTCTACCTCGGAGCCAGCAAGATACACCTTGGGTGTTGGCGCAAATGGGCCGAGCCCATCACGAACAAGGATCATACAAGGACGCCGAGAAGTACTTCAGAAAATTGCGGGTGGTGGCGCCTACGCGGATGGATGACATGGAAATCTACTCGACGATTCTTTGGCATCTCAAGCGGGAAACGGACTTGTCATTCTTGGCTCATGAGCTGGTCGATGCCGACTGGACATCTCCACAAGCCTGGTGCGCTCTCGGCAATGCCTGGTCGTTGGCAAGAGAGCATGAAATGGCTCTGCGCTGCTTCAAGCGAGCGACGCAGCTAAATTCCAAGTTTGCATATGCTTTTACGCTTCAAGGCCACGAGCACGTCGCCAACGAAGAATACGAAAAGGCCCTCAGTGCCTTCCGCAAGGCTGTTACGGCGGACCGCCGCCATTACAACGCCTACTATGGCATTGGCCAGGTCTTTGAGAAACTGGGTAACTACGAAAAGGCCTACGTTCACTTCCATACGGCATCCGATATCAACCCGACCAATGCCGTCCTCATCTGCCGTATCGGAGCGATCCTGGAAAGGCAGAAGCAAATGATAGCCGCGTTACAATTCTATACCAAAGCCACGGACCTGGCGCCACGAGCACCCATAGTACGGTACAAAAAGGCACGCGCGCTGATGAGTCTGGGCAAGGTAGATCTTGCGGAGAAAGAGTTGCTCATTTTGAGGGATGTAGCCCCTGATGAGGCCATGGTACACTTTTTACTTGGCAAGTTGTACAGGAGCCTCAATGAAAAGCAGATGGCGGTACGAGCTTTCAGCAATGCTCTTGCTTTAGATCCAAAGGTAAGATTCCTGGTCCAGCTAGCAAGGCAGACACTTGAGCTAACGATCTGAGCAGGCGAGTCAGTCGATCAAGGATGCCATCGAGAGCATCGAGGATGACGTGGGCATGGAAGACTCCATGATGACATAGGATGACAGGATGAAGAAGGTCGTCTTCGACTGAGGCTGTTTTGCCCTATCAACAGGAGCGGGATGTTGTCCGCGACTGTACATGCGTCTTCTGTGGGCGGTGCGAGAATTGGCAACGAGTCCGGGTTCCCACGACGAGACGAGAGCGAGGTTGGCCAAGCTTTGAATTTGAGCATGGTATAACAGCACGATGATACGGATTCATGTTGCATGCTGCATGGCATCGGCGTTTAGGAAAGTAAAGCAGGGTTGCATATTGGCTTGGGGAGGGCTCAAAGGATGACCCTCTTGTATATTAGCGCCTTATGAGGCGCCGCAGTAGTGGCTGTTACGACAGATCGATGGTCATGAAAAGTAATGCTTTACCTAACCTGACTAGTCTGTACACTGTAGTGTCTGGCAATGCATGTAGCAAAAGTGAGCGAGAAAGTTCGGTGAAGAAACGCGACAGGTGGGAGTGTCCTGATCAATCAAGCTCTGTCAAGTGACAGTTTGGTCACTATCACCTTAAATGCGGCAGATCATCAAGGTCTATACCAATGATCCATGTCGTGTCAGATCTAGGCTGGGTATGCTCTAGAGTCTAGCCAGATCACAAGGAGGGATGAACGTCATGTCTTGTCGAGGCCCGAGCAGTCAAAATCTCCTAAGAAAGGCCATTACTCCAGGTTTAAGGTTGTGAGTTGGGCCGTTGCCTCGATCTCGATAAACTTCCACAAGGTCCTGTGTGAGTCGGCAGAGGAGGGTGTTATTTTAACTTGAGCTACAGCTAACGGGACATAGGTTCATTGCATGAACACCTAGCGGCGGGGAGGAACAACAAACCCTGACCAATCAAAAATAAGTCTGGCTTGCTAAAGGAAGGCGAAAGCGGACGACAAATCGGGAGCGGCAGTGGCAGAGTGCAGGAAGAAATCCATTGCTGACGCGTGACCTTATCAGACCGCGACAATGGGTAAATGGGCTCGGAAGTAGAAAGAGAGCTCGGGCCAGTCATAATTCACCCGCACTTGCCTTGATTCTTGAGTCCTTGACCTCTCTGTTTTTGGCAACCAACACACCCCTGCTCTGCTTTCGACGGCTCTTTTTGCTTGGCCCAGGCCCCTTGGTCTTTTCCCCGACGAGAAAAATAGAAGCCGTGCACGTTCCACCCCCACTCAACAATGCGTCCATAACAAAAAAGCGCGCCTGTCAAAACAGCGGTTCGTTAAGCAGCAATGTCAGCCAAAGACTCCCCTAGCGGAAAATAGAGGACAATTGCCGTTTTTCAGAAATAAAGAGCACTCGCCAAATCGGGACTAGCCTACTGATCCCATCAGCACCTGCCGCACCACACAATCAGTAACCATCCCCCCGGACTTGCAGCACCGCCTTATTTATTCTTTACCCCCCTCAGCTACCTCTTCTTCCCCCCAATTCCCACTCTTCTCTTTTCCCACACCCAACGTATCCATCATCACCAACAGTCAACGTCATCCAACGACACGTCTTTATCGAGACGCGCTTATTCCATCCACTTAAGCATCTACTTCAACAAAATCATTCACAATGACTGGACGTAAGTTGCATCTCTCCATTTTACCTACTCGACCATACTCTTTGTTTCAGTGTAGTGGCGCGTCTCGAGTGTGGCGTAACCCCGCGGTTTAATGGATGAGGGAGGCTTCATTGGAATGCGTCTGCTTTCAGAACGCGTCTCAACCTCATTCATCGCGCGTACGCGTCTCACTCTTGTCGCATCACGCCCTCGACTTGGAGTCTTTGTTTTTTCGTTGTCAACATGACACTAACGTCTCCCAGGCGGCAAGGGCGGCAAGGGCCTCGGAAAGGGTGGCGCCAAGCGTCACCGCAAGATTTTGCGTGACAACATTCAGGGTATCACCAAGCCCGCTATCCGTCGTCTCGCTCGTCGTGGTGGTGTCAAGCGTATTTCTGCTAGTAAGTTCATGCAATTACACATACTCTACTCATCAACGGTCTGCTAACATACTCCGCTCTTAGTGATCTACGAGGAGACCCGTGGTGTCCTCAAGTCCTTCCTCGAGGGTGTCATTCGTGACGCCGTCACCTACACTGAGCACGCCAAGCGCAAGACCGTCACCTCCCTTGACGTCGTCTACGCCCTCAAGCGCCAGGGCCGCACCCTGTACGGTTTCGGTGGTTAAGCGTATCATTTCGATGGTTGCTTGGCCTCTTGCGCGGCTCGGATGCCATGGCGCCGTGGTATCTAGGCTGCTGATCGGCAGGCTTTCGTTGTGGATTCATTGGTCTTTTCAATGGTAATGGGGATATGGATACATCACGTTGATTTATGGCGTTTGGGAATCACGAGACTCTGGGAATGATAGTGCTCTCATGGCGTCGACAGGCAGACGCATTGCCTGAAATGGAACACCAACCAACACGGTGATTTGAACACAACACACTCTTTACTCGAACGTGATTGAATCGTGACGCGTGTCTTGTTTACGTTTTGTGAAGTGATCCATTATGAAGACAACAACCAATCTAGGCTGCAGCGTTTGTATAACTTGCCCAGCCTATTCCACATTACTTTCAACACCCAAGGTGAACTAGAGATATTTCCTCCCCGCCGCCGCCACCCGTGACCTAAACACAGGACTCTTGACTTCCATATTGACCCTGTAAAACGGACTCATGATGGCCTTGACCCAGTTCTCGTACACCTCTTGGAAGAAGTTCTTGATGGCCTCCTCGGTCGCGGGGCTGGTGGGGTTGGCGCCGATGGCCGTCGACGAGCGCGACGACGCCGTGGTGGAGGGCGCCGAGGGCTGGTGCAGGAGGAGGAACTTGACGTTGCCTGCTGTGACGAAGCAGGAGACGTAGTTATTGAAGAACTTGTCTACGATTTTGAGGTACCTGCGTGTTTGGAGGGTAGATGTTAGTATGCCTGTTTGCCTTAGGTCGTCTTGCGTTGCGATAGACGCAAGCGAAAGCTTGAGCTCGAGAGACCAGTGGAAGGGATGGTGTTCGGAGAGTGTGAGGTGGATTTTTACATTTGCCCCTGCGCCCACTGCACTTCCTCTACGATATCCAGACTGCTGTGGAGGATGAACTGGTTCAGGTGGCGGACCTGCTCGTTGAAGCGCGACTGGCCGTCGCCGCCTTGTTTGGAGGTGCCGAATTCGTATTCGAAGAGGGGGTTGTCTTGCGTGCCGACGATGGCGAAGTAGTACGACATTGTTGTGTGTGTGTGTGTGTGTGTGTGTGTGTGTGTGTGTGTTGTAGTGTTTGCGCGCAGTCGTCCTTCCGTTTGCCTCTATCTATCTCTCTTCTCTCGTAATATCTATCACCCTGCGCGACGTGTGTGGACGGCCCTGCTCAGGAGTTTGGCTTCGAGGTTTCGGATGGATGCGCTTCTTCGGGTTCGAGGTACGGGGGGATGTGTGTGGCTTCCGTGAGAATATGAGATCGTCGGCCAGATAGCGTTCGCCTAGTTCAAAGGAGTTTGTCGATGTGGGAAGCACGGGCGGGGGTATATCGAGAAATCGCTGGAGCTTCGGTTCGTGATGTCGCGCCTCTGGCCTCTCACCGAGTTCCTGCTGCAGCACACCTCACCTCCAGCGACAGCTAACACCTAGAAACCTTAGCGCAGGACCCGCGGGGCGGGCTGACGGGCCTGCAGGAAGCGGTGGAGACTCTGGTCCTCCCGGGTGGTACATGGGAAATTCCGCACGAGCGCGCGCGCCGGAGCAGGGAGCCAACCAATTGAGCTCTTCAAATGTTCTCCACCTTTGACCCGGCTTTCGTAGCTCCAAAATTTCCCTGGGAAAGGGACGACTACATCGAACGGTTTTGTTCGTCAATGTAGGAGAGAAGATCGAAGCTCCTAAGCAACAATCGACGACGACTGGAACGACGACGCGCAAGTCACGAAAAACTACGAGTGTGTGAGGTGGAAGATTATTATAATACCTGGGACGCAGGCCATCCGAAGCCGAGGCGAAGCGAACTCGAACGAAGCAGCCCTCTTCACGACCGGAGCATCACCGCTCGACACTCAATCCACCTTCCTGACTCTCTCATACACGTCACACACACACACACACACACACATTACAATGTTCGGCGCCTTCCGCATGACCTCCCCGCTCTCGAGCGGCCTGCTCTGGAAGATCCCGTGGAGGCTCTCCAAGTTCCAGAAGCGCCGCCACCGCGAGCGCCTCCGCGCCGTCGACGACGTGATTGCGACGGTGGACGCCGCGCTTGCGAAAAAGGGCGAGACGGTGGCCGCGCTGGAGCGATGGAAGGCCGAGATGCCGACCGAGGCGGAGATGTTGCCGAAAGACAAGTATACCATGTTTGATCGCAAGGAGAAGAAGTACCGCAAGGGCATTCACAGTACGTTTTCCTTCCTTCTCCTTTCTCCTCCTTCTCCTTCTTCCACCCGCCTAGTTGCTGGAGGAGGGCTGGAGTGGGAGAATTCGTGGAGATAATAGTAAGGGGGGTAGAGCTGACAGTGTGTCTTTGCAGAACTTCCCAAGTGGACGAGAGTTTCGCAGAGATTGAACCCGCCGGGTTACTAGGTCACCAAGTCTATGTCAGATGTATTCGAACTGGCAAGATGGGCGGCGAGAAACTTGGGACAGGGGGGATGGCTACGGCCCTTGTACGAATATATACTCTACGCAACCCGAAGTTGAGGGAGAGGAGGAGATCCAACGGACCGCTGCCGTTGCAGTGGACAGGAGCAGACGAAACAGCTTCTCTGTATATTATAGCATCTGCATTGGGGCTCACGAGATAAAAACCACACTTTGTACAGCTGTTTAGGAAGTTGAATGTGATATTAACCAAAAGCACAAATTTCCAGTCACGCAGCCACCAAATATTGAAATCGGTTTGGTGTCCATGATTGTGTCATTTTGAGGGTATCGATTCCCTGAAGCCTGCCTAGTAGTTTCAAAAGCATTGCTACCCACTCTGTGAAGTAGAGTCTCTCGTTGTCTGTTTTCCTTCCCACGTCTCACTTGCTTTTGATGTCGTCCCCTGACGGACAAAGAAGACGCTTCCCAGTCCCAATCCCAATAAACATACACGCACACCCTCCACACTCATCGCGTCTCCTCATACTCGCCCATGCGATCATCCCGATCCCTCTGCATCTGAATCGCCCTACCATGCCCACCACGTCCCTCGTCAAAGTCCTCACGGTACTCATCCCGCACCTGCCCACCGCTCTTGCCGCGACCATACTGTCTCCCTTCCTCAAAGCCTGGGTCGAGATCGGTGCGGATGACGCGCTCGTCTAGCTTGGTGCCGCCGATATACTTCATGCAATCCAAGGCGTCCTGGTGGGTGTAGTACTCGACGAAGCAGAAGCCGCAGGGGGTTTTGTTGAAGCGGTCGAGGCCCATGACGAGGCGCTTGATCTCGCCGCACTTTGAAAAGAGCTCGTAGACCTGCTCCTCGGTGGTGTAGAAGGAGAGGTTGCCGACGTAGAGCGTCGTCGCGGCGGCGAGGGGGTCCTCGGGGAGGGGCTCGTTCTTGGTGGCGGCTTCGTCTTCTGCGTCGCGGGCTTCGCGGGCGGCGTCGCGGGGGTCGTTTCTCCTGCGCTTGTTCTGTAATATATGGAAGTTAACTTCTGTTCGGGAATCGCTTCTTTCCTGCTTGGACGATTGGAGAGCAGCTCTTGGGGGGACGAGAAGCTGCGTACCCGGTTGTGGTAGTATGCGCTCGGCCTGTCGAGGCGTTCTACTGTGTTTCTGTGCCGGACCTGCATTTTGAAGGGATTGGATGTTTGTGGTGGAGGACAATTGGTTCGTTGTCGATCGTGTAAGTGGGAATTGAAGGTCGAAGGTCTGGAGAAGAAGCACTTGCCTGGTTGAATCGAAAGGTACCAAGGTACCTCAGGCAGGCGCACCTTGTTGGTGACTTGATGGTCTGTGCGCCACATTCACATCACATCGTTGCTTCAGGGCCGTTCAACGTCACTTTGGTATTTCCAATGACAATACGGCTGGAATTTTCCAAATAGACAAAATGCTCTCTTCAGATGCATTTCCATGCCATTTGCTTTAATTGAGAAGCGCAGATAGCTTCAGCACAAACTAGGCAGAAGACTAGTACATGACTTTGGCTCTTGGACCTCACCAAGCTGTGCCTTGGCCGGCCACAAAGCATTCACTGTTATGAGCTCCAAACTAGATCATTCAAGAGAACATTCAGATCTTCTATAATTTACTTCAGTATATCTGAAGCCCTCATACTCTTGTTGGCAAGACCTATCTCAGGCACTGATTACCTTATAGATGAAAGCCTGAAGACTAACACGGTCCGTTGTCCAGTCGGTCTGATTGGCGCAGCGCAAATGCAGGTAGCGCCGGGAAAGCTCAAAGTGGGTCTCGGTGTGGCTGCTACCAGCAACCGCGTTTTTTGACTATGAATAATTCTAAAGACAAGCTCACCCAGCAAACACTACCGAAAAAGTCCACGAACGACATTCGAGCTCGATCCAGCCTGCAGCACCTATTCAACCACCCGAAAGCCTGCAGAGAATCTCCGACACATAATTCTTACGCTTGAGAGGGACGCAATGCCCAAGGTCAAGAGCTATACGGCCCCGTGGCTGTCGCATGGGCCGGGCCACAGCTTGTTCGCGCCCTCCAGCGACGCCTCCAACAAGGCGTTGAGCGCACCGTCACCCTACGGATCCAAGAAGAAGAAGATCCAAGGCCCTAGGCGAACGATTGCGAGACGAGGAACCGAGGTCTTCGTTGCTGTTGGTAAGGAGTTGCGATGGGGCGATCTGGCATACCTGAAGGAGAAATGGTCAACGAAACATGCGCACCGTCGCATGGGCAGCCGTGTCAAGCGGGAGGACTCGACACAGTCGTTCGAAGACGATGCCATTCCCTCGACGGAGGAGGCGGCTACGGCCCAGGGCTTCAGGGTAGGTTCTGTCCCTCAACAGGGCAAGTGACTAGGGATGCTAACAACTTTCTTAGACTATCAAGACATCTGTCGCAGACGATATCCGGCAGCTCGTCATCTCCCCGAACTCCGATTACCTCGCTATTCTCACGGCACATACCGTTCACATTTGCGTGGTTCCCGACTCTTCCCATCTCACGGCCGAGGATACTGGACCTCTGCGACCCAAAATCTGGACCCTGGGACCTACAACTCACGTCACCTCGCGATCCTCAGTTGCGTCAGCTGTATGGCACCCGCTTGGAGTCAAGGGCTCTTGCCTTGTAACCGTAACAACCGATGCCATTGTGCGCGTCTGGGAGTTGTCACTGACCGATAGGTGGTCATTCGACTCTCCCACACTATCGATCGACTTGAAGAAGCTAGTGGATGGCACGACGCTTGACCAGGACTTCAGCGCATCCACGGCTGCTACGAACGCCAGCTTCTCACAGTACTCTCTCGAGATGCAGGTAGCCTCTGCTTGCTTTGCTGGCCGCGGCTCAGGTGGGTGGAGTCCCATGACTCTCTGGGTTGCGATGAGAGAAGGCGATGTCTACGCATTGAGCCCCTTGCTGCCTCAGAAATGGGCGCCGCCTCCTACTCTTATCCCATCCCTTTCAGTGTCAATTGTATCCAAGGTGGCCGCCTTGGAGGATGACCCTGCTGTATCCGAGATGGACAAGCTTCTCGCTCAGCAGCAGCTCGAGTGGATGGGGGATTTGGATTCTCAGGAGCCCCAAATCCTTGATACAGCGCCGGGCGAAGAGACAGTGGAGGTCTACACACGACCCTCCCGGCCGGGAGTTATCCCAAGATTGCAAGGCCCGTTCGAATTCGATGCCGATCCCGAAAGCGAGGATGTCGGGGACGGCCTTCTAACGGATTTGCTCGTAATCGGGAAGAAGGTGGACACCGACGACCTGATGATGGGCGAAGATGAAGACCTGGACTTTGACGAAGGTGACCAGGAGGGTCTTTCTCTCTCGGTCATCTGCCTCTTGTCCACCACCGGCCAGGTCCGCGTATACTTGGACCTGGAAGGCGTCGAAGCACAATGGTTGCCCCCGCGAAACAAATCCAAGCTTGGGCGCCTCTTGTCCGCTGCCGACCCACCTTCACTATTGACGTTCCAATGCATCGACACCATGGCTACAACAGAAATGAACGACGACGCTTGGCCAACATTCTCATCAGATGTCATGTCACGCTACTCGCTTTTTGTCACTTCGCACGCCGGCGTCACGTTCCTCTCTCTTTCTCCCTGGGTCTTCCGCCTCGAGGGTGAGCTCTCAGGCGAATCGGAGGCGGGCTCTGACTTCCGTCTCGGCCTCCTTGTCAATGGGCAAAACTCTATTCGCGAAAGACTCTACAACCAATCTTCGAGCGATGTCAACGTGCCGCTCGCCGCATGCGCCGCCATCCGCGATCCGGATTTGGGATACTTCCTTCTTTCGGCCACTCCGTACGAGCCGATTGCCTTAACTTTCGAGACACCCGAGGACGACTTTTCACCCGTCCGCCACGAAACGCCCTACGAAGAGAAACCTACGACGATGGAACCGTTGGACTTTTATGAGCCTCGCCCAGCTTTCCAGCCGTCGCATGCATTCGAGCAGCAATCCGACCTTCCCGAGCTAATTAACAGACTCCGCAGCTCGCGCCACAAGACCATTCTGAACCAGGAGATCAGACTGTCTCCGGTGACGCTGCAGATCCTTACTGACGCCCATCGCGTTCTCGGCGAGGATACCTACCGACTCGGCACAGCCGTGGCTGAGATTTTCCGCCGCTGCGCGACTCTTCAAGATGAGCTCAGGGATCAAATAAAGAAGGCAAACGAGGTCAAGGAGAAGATTGACAAGATTGCGGGCAACGACAAGGCCGGAGACGGTGAAAGTGATGAGGTCCGATTCGAAAGACGTATCGCCGAGGCACAAGATCGGCAAAAACGACTCAACGAGAGACTAGAAGGCGTCCGCAAGTATGTGGGCAAGGCGGCAACAAGAGAGCTCAGTGCCAAGGAGAAGGCATTCGTGGCAGAAGTCAAAAACATGGAGGCCAGCGTTCTAGGATCATCCTCGGACGACAGCCCGGCAGTGAAGCAGCAGAAGCAACTGAGGAAACGTGTGGAGGACGTGCAACGACTCAAGGACGAGTTGGTGGCAGAGGTGGAACGGATACAGAAGCAGAGTGAGGACGGAAATGGTGGGAAGGAATCATCATCTTCGGTATCGGAGCTCAAGATCCCGACGGAGATCCGCAAGGCCAAGCTGCAGCAAGTCATGTCTCTCCTCTCACGAGAGACGGCTCTGGTCGAGGCTGTAACATCGCGCCTGGAGCGTCTCCAGACGCAGTAAGATGGAGTTGCGGTAGACAGGGTGGGATGACAGGATACCAGGCGGCATTTACTTCAAGCCTCATCTCGGCTGATGCCCAAGAGCGATACAAGGGCTATCATTCATCACACTGGCTATTGAACCTTGGGAATGCAATAGATACATGTTGGCGAATGTCGGATGCGCCAATCGGTTCGATGGCAAGCGCAGGGCGTAAGGCGACACGAGAACAATGGAGGACCACGGACATATGTTTCGAGAATTGGGAACGCACAACCGTAGCATGATTTGAGGTTAGATCAAAGAGACGGAACTATCTGACTCGGGCAAAGATTGTCTTCAGGCCGCCTAGTACCCGTTTACGATATCTTGGTGCTGCTAGTAGGCAAGGAAGATGCCGGTTTCGGGGCGTTATCACATAGCCTTGAAATGGGGTGTCGTCAAACCAAGAAGGAAGATGTTGGTATTATCTCGAATTGAGGTGACTTTTCTTACTCAGTACCGATCCTTGTGGGTCTCGAACTGTCGTCCAATCACACGTGATCGCCACTCTACAGCCTCACTTATACCATGTTCATCGAACCTCTCACCTATCAGATACTAAGGATCGTTCCATCTGCATTATTTTGTGCCCAGCCCGTATCACGAGGGCTGGGTGCCCGACCATCTTGTCTTGTGTAAGCCAAATCCGCTGACAGAACAGGATAACTCAAGGTACCCTATCCAGGATTTCGGGACAGCGTCTCAGAGCATCGAGAAGGTAGGTCACGAAGCTACGACCTCTCAACCCGTCGGGTGCGTGGACATTCGGATATCAAGGCTCTCTGTAGTACCCGACGACGGTCGAGCCTGCCTTCCGTCTCATCTGCCCTCGTGGCTCTAGGGCGAAGCTTGCATGCAGCAGCGAGTGTCACCTTCAGGCTTCGCCCGGAAGGAAAACAGGACAAGGTTACGGTTGCTTTTCCCACGTTCCCCTTTCCGCTTCGCACGCAGCATGTCTACTTACCCTTTGTGAGATCGTGCTTCTCTAGTGCCTGGTCACCCCTGCCAAACACTGCCCGCCAGCAAGAACTATGGATTCTCGCAAGGTCCAATGGTTCGCTGCATGGGCTGTGATGGGGCGCACATTTGACAAGGGCATTCCTCGCACGTCCACTCCAGCAACTCCCCAACTTCAGACGAGGCCGAAAGACAATAGGCGAAAGGTCTGACATTGTCCTGGGGTTGCCATTCGGACGTCTACACACACGTACGAGCGAAGATTCGCAAAGCCCAACCTTCCTTTCTTGTTTCGTTTCTTTCCCCCCAGAGCTCCGTGCGATCGTCGTCGTGGGGTTGCGAGCTCACGGTTGCTTGACTCCCAACGCTCGCTCGCAGAGTCGCAGCACAGCAAAATCCGAGCACCAGCCATATTGTCTCAGATTGATCTTGACCCGCGTTCTAGAGAAGATCCTCTCCGCCTAGGGGACATGCCAATCATACGGCAGTCCTGCGCAACGGCCCAACGATGACGACTGGCAGGCATGAAGCAGTACCCGGCAACA